CCTGTAGAAAGTAATGACTGAATTTAAAAAAGAAACCAATGAAAACTACTTCAAAACAAATACCCAGGAAGGTGGCAACTGCAATTCCGAGCATGTCCAAGCACTCCAGGGGGAGAAGACGCATACCTTCTGAAGCACGTGAAAGAGGTCTGCTGAGTACCTACTTCTCATAATCATTCACTCCTAGGCAGTAGTTGGGGCCATTTCCATAACCTGTCTTCACATCTCCATGCAAGTTAGAACAGACACTTAGGGCTCAGCTCCACTTCGGTCAGCCTTGGAGCAGAGGGCTATTAAAGAAAAAACCTACACAAAACCTCCAGGTTTATGCAAGCCTTGTGAGCATCATTTAACTGGGACAAAGCATTCACAAAGCAATAAATTAATTACCAATGACTACGAATTTTGTGTGGATTACAGAACAAATTCTTCAACATTCACTGCAAGAAGTTTGCATTTTTTTTACTATGCAAAAAAATAGGAGCAAAAGACCAGGTTAGTGAATGCACAACTGAAATAATTACCTAAAAAAATGTTAGGTTCCATGTTAATAAAAAACAACACAAGAAAAGCCAAATCAAAACATATTCCTCAGCTTTTATTCTCCAGGTAAAGATTTATTCAGCTTCACAAATGAAAACACAAAACAAGCAGTGTTTTTAAACCACTAAAAATGTTTAAAATGAACATACACTGAAGAGGTTTCAGTCTGTTCTGCTAAACAGATTGAAAACATCTCAAAGTTGTGGTTAGAGGCCTGTCAAACACTAAACAGTTGTTTCAAACTATCAATAAACTCAAGCTCAATTTGGAAGAGCTGAGATAGTTTATCCAGCTTTTTTCAAGCTGGTCTCTAGATTTAAGCAGCAACATTCACAGGAATTGTTCTGAATACTTGGATATCAAATGCATTTCAAACCTCCACAGAAACAGTCCAGTTCCATATTTTTACTGGATGCTCAGATCTGCCTGCAAGCAGGTCCTGACCTGACACCTGTGGAATGTTCCAGCAGCAGAAGGTACAAGATAAATTCCCTGAAGTGACAGCAGAGATTTCTATTATATCTTTGCAGACGGACAAATATTTTGATTTAGAAGGGATCATCCTTTGTCTCAGCCTCCAGTGTCCTGAGGAGGTCACACAGAGTAACTATTGTTCCAGTATGCTGGAATTCAACAGCACTATTGCATCAAGTCACTCCTCTGCATTTTCTTCTGATTCAAAAGCAAACATCAATCTCCCTCAGAAAACTTAATGAATTGAATCTGCAGTCCCCAAAAGGAAAACACATCTTACAGACAGCACTTTCAAAACTAAGTAATAATCTATGCGGCACAGGAGGCTGGAAACAATCATGTCCTTGCTCCATCTCCAATACATCAGTTCAAAGTCTGCCTCCTAGCAGCTACACGGAGAGCATCACTGCTACTCATTTCATCCTCTGGTTACCTCTACCATCAGCACTTGATCCCATTTATTAAAATCCAGTGCATCAGCATACCTGAAGAATAGGGCTGGACAGGAAGAGCACTGACTGCACAGGGATCTAGGGAAGTCCTGCTGCTCTTGTGACATGCTCACAACATTAGTCAAGACTTCCACTTCCTATGCCCACATTCTCTCTCCCCTCCTTGGTATGTTTAGAGATGCAGCAGTTACCAAGTAAATATCTCTGCCTAGATGCAGATACCTGCATCTCACAGTAACTTTATGATTATTCTGATGGTTCAATTTCATTTCCTCATCTCCCCCATTTACAAAGATTAAGCTGAATTAATTTACATATTTTGGGATTGGGTTTTTTTTCTTAGGAGGAATCATGAAATAGTTCCCCTGGGATTAAGCTAAAACATTACACTGTACTCCGAATTTGCTGCATTCTGATGTCATCCCCCCCCCCCCGCCTTCAGAAGGACCTCTGGCAGTCATAGCCATAGGCCAAATGCCCAGTACCATCAAAATCTGCTGCCATGCAGAAATTCTATTTTATGGCAGTAGGATTTGGAATACTTCAGAAGAAGCCTTCCCCGTTATTGGTAGTAGCAAAATCTGACTGATAAAATGCACCTAGCATCCAGAATACCCAATGGAGGATTACAACAAAGCACCATAAGTCACTAGTGATGATAGCCCCCACCAGAATAAATACCATAAATATACAGAAAAGTCATCTTCAAAACACATTATATACAAACCCATTTCAAAATAGACTGTGAAACCACTAATCCTACAGACTCCCTGAGACAGGGAAGCAGGTGGTATACAACCAGGAAAGGTACAGTCTCTAAGTGTGAGCTCCTCCATCTTACTTCCTTAAAAAAAAGTGCTAGTCAAATTTCTACGTATTTAATTATATTATCCATACCAAACCAATAGGCACGTCAGGAAAAACACTTGTTTCTGAAGGAACATACTCTATTACAATTCACCAGTAGCCCATTCTGAATACAAGCACAAAAATGATATAGTAAGCTACTGAAACTAGCAAAAAAACTATTTGCAAAGTACAAATATACAATAAGAAGGACACAGTGCTGACTTTAACTGCATTAGATGCTACTGATTTGCGAGGCCCATAGCCATGTGACAGGCTTAGAAAGTTCCTTTATCACAGAAAAGTCCCAGAGAAATAGATGCATGCACTGTTTGATTCAGAGCCTGGATGCTGAACAGGCAGCAGAAAAAAGGAACAGTATATCAATAACTGAATTCTACCATGAAAAGATGAATTTTCCATTTGAAAGTACATTAAAATGAAATCTATTCAATTTTGATAAAAATAGTGACAAAGCTGTATTGGCAATGATTTCTTCTGTGTTTAAGATTACCAGTATTTCTTTTTGTTTATTAACAGTTTATTAGTTGTTCCTCGGCATAGAACACAAACAAGTAACAAAGTTCACTGAAAACTACTGTAATTTGTTACTGTATTTTCAGTTTCTTAGTATCTACATTATTTTCCTATCGGTTAACTAGCAACAGTATCAGACAAGTGTGCTTTCTCCAACAGCACTCACCAGGGTTACGGCTACAGGCAAAACCCATAAAGCCGGCATAATCTGAACTTTTATTTTGCAGTATCACTGCACCTCTTCAAAGAAAACACACCAAAAAAAACCACAAAACACCAGCAATACTGGCTGTGATGCAGGAGAATGCACTGTGTGCAGTAGAGGCTTACAAAAGTAAAACTTAACACTATTACTTAAAAAACAAGGTGTAATACGTATTAGTAACAGACAGGGACAAAAATGAAATCAAATACTTCATAAAGTGAATAACTGGCTGCTGTAATGCCTGGGAAAAAAAAAAAACGGGATGCTGTAGATGTTCAAAACGAGCGATGCCCTTGATATACGAGCCGAACGTCACATGTGAGACAAGATCACTCTCCAGACAGTTGTTATTTAACTCGTGCCACAGAATGATAATTTCATTACAAAGCAAGCTATGACTCCTGGGTTCCTTCCAAGAAATTTCAAAGCGAGAAGAAAAGGGCGGAAAATACGCACCCACCGAGCACCATTCAACTACGTATTTAAGTTACGAAGTTCTCAGGTGCAGGCGGGCAGCATTAACAGCAGACCGGGGACACCCGAACCGCCGGTCTCCGGATGCAGACCGCCGGGACAGCCGCCCGCAGTACGGCTGCCGAGACCCGGCCGAGGGAGAAGCTGCCCCGGTGCCCGCCGGCAGCTCCACAGCCGCTCCGGAGGCTCCCGGGTGCCGCCGTGCCCCCCGGGCCGTGCTCTCGCCCGGTCCAGCCCGCACCACGGCACACGCTCTGCTTTGTCATCTCTCCCGCCGCAGCGGGCGAGCGCTCCGCGCACACCGGTACGAGATGCGCGCCCGCCCCGCTGCCTCGCACACCCCCGCGGAGCCGCCACCGGCCGCGGTCAGCACGACCCTGCCAAAGGGAACCGCACCGAGCCCCGCTCCGCGGCTCCCGGCTAAGTGAAGCACCGGTGCCAAACGACCCGCGGCTGCACGCCGGGTCCGCGCTTCGGCATCCCGACCAAACGGGGCGAGGGTGATCCCGGCTGAGGTAGCGCCGGGCAGCGATCGCCCGGCGACTCCTCACAACTTACCTTGGGTTTGTAGAGCCACTTTCGGAACCTGTTCATCATCCCCGCCGCCGCTGCCACCCCGCCGCCGCCTGCCGCTGCCACGGGGGCTACCGGCTCCCCGCCCGCGCCGCTCGGGGGACCGGAGCTAAGCCCTGCCTCTCCGCCGGGAGGGAGAGCTCGCACGGGTCGCAGCAGCCGCGCCAGCAGCCACCGCCGCTCCCGCTCCAGCCGGTGCGGGGCGCGCGCTCCCTCAGCGCAGACAGCGGCCGCCGGCCCCGCGCGCCGCGCGCCCCGCTGACAGCCCCCAAAACATTGCGCGAGACTACGTGTCCCAGCGTGCCCGCTGCGCAGCTGGAGGCGCCGTGCAGCGCGCCTTGCCGTGGGGCATGCCGGGATTCGTAGTCTTCTCCCCCAGCTGCTCCGAGCGAGGTCGCTTCAGGACAGGAAGCCTCTGCTGCTGACAGGCGGCCCAGCCGAGCTCCTAACCACGGGCTGAGCGCTCCACAGCTGCTCCTGAGCGCAAAACGCGAGGAGGCGCGTAACGAATTGCCTGGCAACGGCGGCAAACAACCGCAGCCATCTTTCTTCCCGGCCGCGTAGTTCTTTGGCCCCGGTCGTGCCGTCCTGCGACACTGAAGTGGGCGCGCGGGAAAACTACAGCTCCCAGAAGCCCTGGTGTCCCTTCGCAACAGCGCCGGGCCGGGCCGCGCCGCGCCGCCCGCGGCCGCAGCGGGGTCTCTGCGGCTGGACGGTCCGCGCCGCCGCTGAGAGAGGGGTGCCGGGGCCCGGCGGGGCTGGCGGGGGCAGCCAGGTACGGGGTCGCGAAGCGCCGGGCTGAAGGGCAGCTGCTCGCTCGAGGGTTACCTCAGGCGGCGGCGCCCGCCTGCCCCCGGGGGGTTGCACCGCTGCGGCTGCAGCACCCCAGCAGTAGCAGGCTGTGGGACCTCGAAACAAGGATGGGTGAAACGGGTGATGTGTGAAAGTGTCAGAAGCCCCGGGCAGGCTTTTCACTCGTTTATTGTGTGTTTATAAATACAACAGAAAAGGTCAACCGGGCCTGTGTCGGTCTTTGCTCCCAGAGCTCTCATTAACTGTTGTGATTTCGGGCAGGCAGCCAGCCTTGGTGTCCTTTGGCTTACCGATCTCATAAATATAATACACTATTTGCAGAGCGTTTTGCACAATTAATATTTAATTGTAAAGTTCCACGAGATACCAGCTAAATACTGTGTCGAGTAAAATATTTGCAGTAGGTATGCAAAACCTACTTTGACATGCATGCAAATTAAAAATAAACTTAAGATCCAGGCTGTAGCGCCTCAGGGTGAATGTTTTGCATCTGATGCTTTACTGCCCTACGGGAGGAATCTGCTGAAAAGAGGACCTGTGGCCGGAACTGCTCCTTGCTACACTCAGGTGGCAGCGATGCAGCAGAGTAGACCAGAATGACAGGAGGCAGCCCCTGGGACAGTTGTACCCTGTGCTCAGTAGCTCTTTTTCTAGTACACAGCTGGGTGAAATCCCCGTTCCATTTTGAGCAGTAGCGTCTTGATCTGACTGAATTTTGCAGGGAGGCTTAGTTCTTTTTAAGCACAGCTTTCATGAGAGGAAAGGCAATCACAGTGTTTGTAGGGTAGGAGCACAGGAGCCAGTGTAAAATCTGAAAGCATCAGGTCATTGAAACCAATCCCTGCAATTATGGGCAAGCTCATCCTACGCAATTGCTTGCAAAATATCTCCAAGCTCCATTGTAAGATAAGCCTAAGTTGAGGTCTTACCTCCTGTCAGTGAAATCCTACATCTGATAATAGAAGAAAGTTTCTACCTTTTTGGATAGTATAAATGCTAATGTATAGTATAAATATCATTTTTATACATAGAAATTAGAATATTCCCCTAAATGTCTGTGTGGAAATAAGGGTGCATGTCATAACGCACAGCATTTTATTCCCAATATGTATGTTTTAAAACACTGATTATAATAATAGCAGTTTGTGTAAATACAATCACAAGTGAGGTTCTTTTTATTGAGAACCCCATATGTTCAGAGTTCTCAAGGTATTACCATATGACTTAGTTTTCATATTCCAGTTTTATGGATGGGTTTAATGATTAATGAGGGGAGGGGTGAATATCAGCATTTACAGAGCATGAGAGCTCAAACTTATTTCTACTATGCCTTAAGAAGAAATGTTTGTCAGTGGCAGAGCTGCTGGAGCTTGAATTATGATTCAGCCTGAATGAGTACAGAGGTATTTCTCTCTCCCTTACCCAAAATCCCTAGTGCGTGTAAGAATTTTGACAGGTACAGAGAAACAGATCATGATTCTCAGAGGAGTGGAAGGATGGTGATTCCCCCTGTGACAGAGATGTGGTAGCACTTCTGGTTTTTATTTCCATCCCTTGGCATGATCCAGCCCTGTTTTGCTGGACTTTTTATTTTAATTAGGCATTTTGTCTTGATCATACCGGGTAACTAAATGTCTGTATCAAACATAATCAGACAAACTTTTTTTCAGCACATTGAGGTTAATAACTAAAACTGCTATTAAGACAGTTGTTATTGAGTATGATAGTGCTGGAAGGCAGAGTACAAAAACACTGTATCTGGAAATGTTATATCCTTTTAAAACAAGAAATGGATTCTCTTTACCACAGTGGAATGAATCATCTTGATCAAGCATTCTTTTCTAACATCAAAATACGATGATATATAAAATGGGAGAACGATTTTCAAAAATATATTTTTATTTTCATCATGGAAAACTACTTCTGTGCTCATTTTTTCCCATTGCTAAACCAGTTTAATGAGTTTCAGCCCTGGTCGTTACTGTCATTGGTCTTTCATACACAACAACATGTGCATGTATATGAACAAATGCACTGTAGTTCTTGTCATAGGAACATTAAAATCAAGGTAGCCAGTTCTGCAAACTCTCATGCATACAAGTAAGACATTTGATATAGATGTAATCCAGTCATTTCACAAACAAAGCACCAAGCAGGAAAGGTACCCAACTGCTGGGCCTTCAACAACCTTGACAGTGGCCTAGACTACTGATGTGTTGTGATTGCTGCCCAGCTGGCTGACCAACACTGTTTGTTTGCTTCTTTATAATCCCTCTCTATTCTTATTCCTTTGCTGTTTTGGAAAATCAGGCTGCTAATAACAACATGTGATAAGATTTAAGACTAAACTTTTGCTTTCAGTTGCATCTCATTTGGAAGAGCAAGGTATTGAGTAAGACCTTTATAGCACACATGAGAAAAATCATGCTTTTCTTATTAACTTTAATTATATTTCATCAATAACCTGATTCAGAAACCATTTTAGGTACCCTCCTAATGATCATTTCGAGACACTTGCAGAATAAGAAACACGTAATTATGTCTACTATTTTATTGATGTTTGCACTGTATTCTCATTTCTCCAGTTAACTGCTCCACATAACCGTGATTTTGAAAGCTTGACCTAAATGTTCTCTTCTACATTACTGCAGTATATCTTCTCTATGAGCCTATCAACATACATTATGCTACAACTGAAGGAAGCATGAAAAATTAATGATTTGCTATATTTATAGGATTCTCCATGGTGAAGATGGTCAGCCATGGAAAACATATTGCAATAATAATCCAACAGCTTGACAAATTTAACCCTGAAATTCAGAGCATGGAGGATTTCTTGAATGAATCAGCTAAACTGTTGAAGGTATATTAAGTTTCACTTCATCTTACATAACATACTTTAGTTTACTATGTGATTTTAAATATAAAGGTATCTGTTTCCTAACATGTTGTGGTAACTTCCATTGATTTCTCTTACAAATCTCTTATGGTTATCACCAGAAAACAAGGAAGTAAAGATCAAAGGGGTCGAAAAACTGCTTGGGTAGCAATAAAAAGAAGGGAAAGCAACAGCAGTCTCAAATGGATCTGACAGTGATTGGTACAGAAAGTTTCTCATCCACTTTGGACTAAGGACTAAGCTGTTTTATAGTTTCTTATCTCAGGTTTCTGTCAGCACTACCCATTTTTATGTATGAATGCAGTTCAGAAGCTGGCTCAACAGATCAGGTATTCTTGCTTTGAGGACATGAGTGACCATCAGAAGAGTGGATAGAACACAAGTGACAGTAAATCAACCAGCTGATTTTAATCTAATACTGCATGTAACCAAACCAAGATTTGCCAATATGCAGCTATACTGGCTGAAGCAGTTCCCATCTTTTCCTAACTGTAGCCTCTTCCTGTCTCTGTGTCCTCAGTGCCACCCTGACTTGGGCTGGTACTGCTACTGCATTGAATTTGCTTTAAAAAATCATTAAGGGAAGACAGTAATATTACTTAGATTGCTATTGCCTGTGCATGCCATGTATTATCAAACTACACTGGTGGAACTCTGATTCTACACTGCCACGTAGCTCCAGTGCTCACTTCCACTTCTGGCAATAAGGTCTAAAATTCTGCTGTTCCAGTTAGATAGTCTTTTACATTTATTTTGCATATATATAAATGACTACAAGAATACAAAACTATGGAGGTGTGATATGAAAATCAGAGGCTGAGCCACATTTCTTGGGTCCTTACTTTCTTAAACAGTTTCCACTCAGGCCTCTAGTGGCAGCTGCCCTCTTGTCTTGTAGTACTGCGTAACTGTGCATTCATACGCCGAATTACATCAAGAAACTGATCCAGGTTCAAAGTAATATTTTTTCACTAGGCAGAGAGCAAGTAAATTCATCTACCTCTGCTGCCAAAATAAATATTTATAAAAAATTAGTATTCATAACATTGTTCTTCTCAGCCCAGGAAAGGTGATGCAAAGACAAAAGAAGCAGTAACTCTATTAGAGAAACATGAATGATAAGTTTCATAATAAACCCTTCCAAAAGGGGGAGGGCAGGAAAGATAGCTGATAACCAAAGGTAATGCAGAAATCTTTCTCTGGGATATCTTCAGCTCATTTAGTACGTAATGTTTTTGCTGTGAATTTATCCAAGAATGTGAAAAATAAGTTCTATGTTTATCTAAAATTCAGCTTTGTTTCAGTACCAAATGGGTGATTATAATTCATCATGGAAAATTCACTTCTTTCTTTTCTGTTTCATAATAGGCATATGATCCTAGAAATATTGTAGCACAATTTCCAGGCTTGGCCACTGAACAACGTGCCATTATTAACAGACCCATGAAAAAGCTTCCTCCAGTTTGCATCCTGATTAATGCTATCATTTTAAATCACAGACAAGATTCAAGCCTGTGTGTCTCGTGCTAGCAGCATGACGAATATCAAACCTGGTGTTGTGTGCTATTGACCAGACAAAAATCAGGAGGGTGAGATTCCATGAGCATAAATCTAAATAACTGCAAGACACATCTCTCTTAATATTTATTTACCTACTCAGGTATTCAGTATATCAGACTTGTCTTTTCTACAAGTTACCATCCTGTCTTCTACCAGACTTTTCTAATTAATTACTTAATTAGTTTTACATCTCCCAAAAGTATAATCAGATCCCAGTCGTTATCAACACTGTACGTTTCATTCATATTATATATCTTCATTTTATTTGGATGTTTTAAAGTCTTTATAACCTTCTAATACGATATTTTACATCATGAAAAGAATTTCTATTTGTTGTTCTCAGTGAACGATCAGACTTGTTCTTCTTCCAGGAAGAAAATACACTTTGACTTGTAATTCAGTTATTTACAGTCTTCATGTTTATTGTATTGTAAATTATTATGTTTCCAACATAATATTGGACTTGGTTTCAGTGCAAATATTTTCAATAAGAACATAGGTTCGTTAGTAATATGATACGTTACTCCCACTTGCAACAAACCTTCACCTTAAATCATGAAGAATCATCTTATGTTCTTGAAGCCTCCTAAAAACAAACAATAAGTGCAAATAAATGCTTTTGCTTCTCTGTTGTGGCCTTGTTGCTATTAAAACAGAATTCAGCGTGAATTATCTTGAACAACACATTAACTTAAAATACTTATTTTTGTCTCTCAGTTCTTTAAATTATTAGCATTCCCATTCAAATTCACATCTCTATTTCTGTTCTTCATTTAAATATCCAGACGGCTTCTCCTTGTTTATCTTCCTAAATGTATTTTCCGACTCCTTTCATCATACTAATGCCCTACAGATAATATCCTCATTCTTGTGCACTAAATGTCATTCTTTCTATTAAATATTCTTCAATTAAATGAATCAAAAATTATTCATATCCAGAGTGATCCTCCATCCAGCATATACTGTACATCAGGATACGTTTCATCTGACCATTTATAGAAATGGACTGCATCCATTGTACCTAACTGAGGCATCCCAGGCATTTTTTCTTCCTTGTGACTGTTAGAACCAAGCTTTTGCTATGATGAGGCAGATTTTAACACTGAATTTACCAAGCAATGTTTGTGCCTTTCTCTATGCAAATAACTCACTTTATTTTCAGTGGAATCATTTGTTTCAATTAGAGTTGCAGGATCAGACCCATCACATTGACCTTTATATATCCCATCTACTGAAAAGCTTCCTTCTGTAAAATCAGAACTGCCACCCCAAATTCACTGCTTTCCTCCTTTATCCCTCTCATGTTGATAGCAAGATGGACCTATTTATGAGTTTTCCATTTTGCAAGAACATGGTGTAATTTGGCATAGTTCTCTCTAGCTTTCATTTGTGTTGGTTCAGCTGTGTGCCTCACACATGCCCACTCAACTGTGAATAAAATCCCCAAATGTCGAAAGTCAGAGATTTAGTTTTAAATCTGAAAATACTCCAATGCAAGATTATTTTGATACATGTGTTGAAAAAATCCTATGAAATTATACAAGTCTAATTTGTATTATTAGTTACTGACATAAATGCAGATCAGAATCTTTCTAAGGAAAATATGGAGTCTGATTTTTCTGCAGTGTCCCACTCATGATTTCATATTAAGTACAAGGGAAAATAACGTTAACTGCACCTCTTTAAGATGGTCCACATTATCACATGAAGATGAAAATACTAGTTTGTGACTACAACATGGACCGTGAATAGCAGAAGCAGGACATTTTCCTACACATACCCTAAGATCCCAGGCTTTTTTCCTCTATGGAAATTACTGGAAACATTTTCACTGACTTCAGAGGGAAGGAGGACATGGTTCTGGCAACTGATCCAAAAGTCAGTGAAGTCAATAGCAGTATTTTCTTTCATTTCCACAGCATTTTGATTAGGCCCTTGGAGAGGACTAACACTGATATCTAAATTACTATAAATTAATCAGACTGCATCTGCAAATGTACACATTCTGCCCAGCAGTAGACAAGCTAAGTACATACTATTACTCAGTTCTCTTGGGAAGTGGAAGCTATTTTATCTTTTCATTAATATTATCTTCTTTCTAAAATGTTTGTTTCACTTTAAACTACATCCTTATCCTGAGAAGTCTCAAAGAAGGCATGGCTGATGTTCCTTTCCTTCTCTCCAGACACAAGAGCTTTACCTTCTCTGCTTACCCATCCTTTTCTGATCTCTGACCCTTAAATAGGTCCTGTTGTAACCATTCTTATTACCACACACCCATGGTGGCAAAGTCTGCTTTTTGCAGATACTTCCCCGTTTAATTCATGCTACACACTGAAAATTGTTTGTGTACAATGTCCTATGCTACACAGTCTTTTCTCTCCTTGAAGAAACCTGACTGGTTCCCAGTTACAGCTGTGCTGGGGAGCAAGGAAAATATGTCCATGGAAGTGGGCTAAGGGCATTAGGGATTTCAAAAAAGGCAAGATAATGCCAATCAGCACATATTCAGGCAAGAGTCACTTTTTTTTTTTTACAGGATCATTAAGGATAATTTCAGACAAGATCATTTTTTTACACCTTGGAAATCGAAAAAAAAGCTGAAATTTAATGCTATTGAGAGAACACTGTCAGATATTTGTATGGGAATAACATTGTGATTGCATATAACTAATTATATCCAATGTAGTCATTGGTCAACAGAATAATATATAGGCTTCTAAGCGCTAAAAATATAGAACCATCCAGTATTCATGCACAATAAACTTACAATGCTTTATGCTTACTATGCTTTAAACAACAAAACAATAAGCTGTAATATTAGAGATAAAAAAAATTGTTTCCTGAGCACAGCATAGGCATATTTTTCAAGATCTATTTTGCCTTCTGATAAATTTCAGTATTTGATGCAGCAGGAGGTGATGTTTGCTGCACGTGTTACTTTCACCTCCGAATTGTCTGGCCTTCCCCATGCCGAAGGACTCACACAACATACTTATAAACATAACTAACTGCTAGTTGTTTCAGAGAAATACATGAGGTAAAGTATACTTTAAAAGGGAAGAAGATGGTCTGATGGGCAGAACAAAGGCTCACAAATTAGCATTTATTAATTGTTGTTGACACTATTGACTTTGTGTGTCACCTGGGGCAAATCTCTTATCTGCCCATATTCAATGTTCCTGCATTTACAAAATAATATTAGCCAAGGGGAATCTCATTAAACACAATTAATGCTAGTTTTGACAGCCTCATACAAAAGGTGCTATAAATCTGTCATAATACTGTCCTGTTTCAGGATCATTTGACCCACTGACATAAAATGCAACATAAGGCCACACAGAAAGAATGCACTTAGGAACTGGTGCTAGAAATTATACCTACTCAGTGTATTACTTTCCCAAAGCAATATGATTTCAGATGATACACAGATAAATTGTAAATATCTTTGAGGAAATTTGTTCAGGACATATGCACTTCCCATGCAGAGAGTATCCTAAATGTTTTAAAGCACTGTTTATTGAGCCACTAGATTATAAAAAGGTCTTAACCAACAACTGGTTCACCTTTGAGATTTCTTATCCAAGTTTCACTCTGCCCAGTCTTGCTTAGTTTATGATGAGTTCTGATGAGATCACTTCTTTAGATGACACAGCAGCAGGCTGCTTAACTATTCTCAATTTCTCTATATAGAGCAACTTAACATTTAGTACCATTTGTAGTTGAAAGCAGACCTAATTGGTAATATTTAGTGACTAGACTTTTTGGCTTGAGGTCCACAAAATTATCAATCAGTACTGATGCTGGGGGCACAGTTGTGCCCAGGCTGCACCTTCTGTCACCTTGTTGCTTAGCTCAAGGCCATGTAGTGGATGGATATGTACTTTCTTACTTGAGGAGTAGGCAAGAGTAAGCCCTTATTTCTGTGTTTGTCCTAACAACTAACTTCTGACTTGTTAACTCAGAATGCTAAAAGTACTCTACTAGTGTAGAGTAAATGAAAATATGCAATTGAATTTTTATAATGTAGTCTCTACTGTGTAGGAGATATGATTTGGGCACTGTTGTCATCTTGTTACCTGTTCGTCTACTTCCTATTATCTCTCAAAAGTACATTTGAAAAGCACTCATTTGTTGTCACACTTTCCACATGTACAATATATCAAAGTAATCAGAAGGTGAATTCAAAGATTATAGTCAAATAAAGAAAAAAATTTATATTCTAGCTTTCTAGTGGAGGTAGTTGTGAGAGGTGTGCTTGTTTCCAGCTGTCTTGTCCAGTTTTACTATGGGCTTTCTGTTTATTATCAGAGCTACTGTTGTCTGCAGATGGATCTATTCATGAACAATGGCATTTGTTCAAGGGGACCCATCATTTTAGACTCAAAATGTCACAATCCTACTTCTACTGGAACTACTTCATCCTCTCTCACTTTGCTGTTCAGGTATTTAGGTTTTCTTTTGCCTTTTGTGGTGAGTTTTCAGATATCTCAGATATCAAATTCAGGATATATATTTGAACATTTAGTGGGGGGTTAGATTTCTGGATTTTCTCTGCCAGTTTTATGGAAGAACTTTCATGAATCTTCATCCAGAAGAGATATATTTGGGATGGACTGTGTGCCTCACAAGAATCCTCAGTGCTTAGCAAGATGGACTCCATGCTTCCCATCAAATTCATTTTCTTGTGTATTTTCAGATACATTCAGTCTGTTTCCTCTCCCCTTCCATTTGTGTCCATCCTACATCTAAGTCCTTCTGTATCTCCTCTTTTCCCCTGCTTTCCTTTTTCTCTGTGCTCCTTCTTTGCCACCTCACTAAAGTTGGCTATATTTCCCAAATGCATTACCGTTTATCATGTCAGCCACAACCTGTTGGTTCTTCTCTCTCAAGTCCTGATTAAGAATGTAGGTGATTCTCAGCATAAGAGACTGAGTGCTTATTCACACTCAGTCTTTAATGCTGCTCAGCAGACTTTGTGATGCTTCCGTGTCTCCATGTAATGATTAGTTTGGTTACACGCTTGTTTCTTCTTACCCAACATAGCTGGGCTACAGAATATATTGAAAGTCATATCTGATTACTTCAGTTACAGAAATAGAACTTTTCTGTCATTTTAACTATCATGAACCACAAACTGAGCTTGATTCTGTATATGTGTCATTAGTAATATTGTCTATTACTGTTCTGCTCTAGAGAAAGTCAGATGTATTAGTGTAACCCCAATAGCAACAAAGGAATTATAAGGATATATGTAGGTCTAATTTTACCTGCCTACATGTGTGTGCATATATAAATATATTTGGATATGGTGACAATTATATGAGGGCACTATTTTTTTTTCTAGTGATGATGTACAAATTGGAAGGAATGAAGCCTGGCTTTTGAGCAGGAGTAGTGAAAAAGAATTATGCTTGCTCTGAATGACAACCCACAAAAATACACTTGGAATGCTTCTGCATCATTTTTTTCATTTGAAAATTACAACTGTCATTTTAAAGTATTGCCTTGTTTTGTCTGAGTCTCAAAGCCCTTTGTAGTGTCACATACCAGAAAGCTCATATAGTTCCTTCCAGCAGCCTCTAATACTACCTTTAAACTAGAAATGAATCACATTAGCAAAATAAAGCAATCAGGATGCTAGCAGATAGCCCACTAGGCAAGGAGAACCTCTCGTCTGGTATATTATGGCAGTTCGGTTGTTCCCACATCTAAGAGCTGTGGGAGAGATCATGCATCAAATGTGCACTACATGTTTTTTTTGTTGGCTTCTTGACTAATGTTCTTATGTCAAAGATTCATTATTGTTTGTCATTTTGTCCTAGTGTGGCTGCCCTTTTCAATTCATGTAATAACAAACTGTTCTGGGCCTCAGATTTTATTGCAGTCTTTAAAGGTGGTTCATACTAGAAGTTTATCTCATGTAGGAACAGATATCCCATAGATTATTTATCATGACTGAAACTCTGTAAAGTTCAGAGCATTCCAGCTTTTTAAAGGGGTTATGAGGTAGGTTCCAATGGTGTGCCATGAATCTGACCCTCCATTTTTCTGTTCTCTTGTGGTATTGCATGATCATGAGTGATGGATCAGAAACAGCCTGCATTAACAAGAATCCTGGCACTCACAGGTTTAGTTTATATCAGTTGTGTTCTCCAATATTAGGTTACAGTAGCAGTTAAGAGTCTTTTCCAGAATTCCCGTCCAGCTTCTCCCTTCAATTTAATCTCCCCAAGGAGCACAGATTTCACCGAGAAAGAACAGGTTTCCCACTGGAAAAGCAGACTCTTAAGTGAACCTTCTCATACTGTTAACTAAGTTAATAATTTCTCATAGCTCAGAGACTGCAGATTTTCTTTGCATTAACTGTTGACATTCACACATCAAGACCTTTTAACTAAATGCATGTGTCAGCAGAGAAACTGAAAGTTTAACATTGGAGAAGGTTACATTTTACTTGACAAGGGCTATTAATTTCTTAGGACTGCCCATATTTGATAGTATTCAAAGTACATCAGCCCTACCAAAGGCACTGCTCTTCATTATTCAGGTTTTCCAATTACTTCAAAATGGTTGTACTTCTTTTTCTTTCCAGAATACATTAATCATTATTAATTTTGTATCTCTATAGACTCTTAACGTGACAGAACAAGAATTTGTGTTGGATACACTAGCTGGATGCATAAAATATAAATCCTTATTGGATGTAGTAGTCAATGCCTTTTTTGTTCGGGATGGGAGATACTGCCTGATTGCTGAGCGTAACCTCTATATAGGTAAGCGATGTTTTACAATACTGAATGTATTTACCACAAAACTTTAGAAAACATTGTTTTACTAGTGTATTTCTTAATATTATATTACACTGGAAGCACTGTCATTGTGCCCTGGGCAGTATGCAGTACAGGGCTTTTTCCAGTGATCTTATGATATAAAGCCTAAATCCTTAAATTGTTATATAGCCTGGAGTCTCACAGGTCTTAAGTGGAATTTCACCTACAAAAATTCTGCAGAATATGCCCGCAGACCAGATAACATGCAAATGGAAAATAACATCAAAGGCTGGAAGAAGTATTTTGGAAGCTTAACCATCGCTTTAAAAAATGTTCTTTAGTGATTTCCCTTTATTCTCTTCTATGCAACCTGCTACCTCTGCCATTCAGAGATGAAGCTTTATAGTAAAGCCTGACTGCTGAGGAACACAGCATGTCTCCTAATATGAAGATTCAACTATCCCCATACATACATGGGTTTCTTCATTACTGACCATCACAATGACTTAAGTAGACTTGGGTCTGTCTCAATGAGTGAGGTCAATTATTTTCCTTTTATTAGTTATTTGGTTAGAATCAGTTACAATACAACTATATCTGATAGTGTGAGCTAGCTAATCAAAGTAGTTACTACTCCTAAAGTTATTTCAGGCATTGGGAAGTACATTAAAAAGTAATTTAAGAAATATTTTTATTTATGCATTTAGTACAGATATAATGAAGTCGATTTATTAAGTCCCTAAATAAGTTGGAATCACAAATTGCACTAGGTTCTCTCAGTCAGAAGTGTTCTGAAGCTTTGTGGGTACTTTGAAAAATCCAGTCAATTTAATACAAAGTGGTTGAAAAATACAGAAAAAACACCCGTATCTAATACATCAACTTCTTTATCTTTGAAAAGCTAACTTTTTATGCCAATTCTGGTTGCTTCTGTCACAATATGGAATGTTATAGAAATCTAAATCAAATAACAAATTAAAGGAAACATAAACTGTCAAGGCTTAAATTAATAGTATATTGAGTTTATTCTAAATGGTAATGATTCATTGTCTCCATTTCTCCAGAGCCATGTTTTTTAGTGTCTGGGGCACATAAATTATATCTTTAAGCTGAGTGTTGCTATAATTGGATTGTCAGGACTGGTCCACTCAAAAGCCTCCATTAATCATAGGCAGAGGGTAGGCCCCCAGAAAATTTTCCTTTATCAACAAGTTGAGAGTCTAAGGTCATTGGCTTACATTTTTTTTAAGCTGCTTGTGATTCCCTTTGCCAAGCTGCATTGACACTTAACCGATCAAAGCTGCTTATAAAGGCTGTTGCTATGTGTTAGCAGATTTGGATTTAATAAAGCTTGTAGTAGATAAATGTATATTCTGCTAAGACTGCTTAAATACGTTGCTATGCTAAAGGACAAGATTGAAGCCTAATGATACACAGACCTGGCTGCAGCACATTGGTCAGAATTTACTGCTTTTATCATTACTGGTTAGTGGCAGCTAAAACGCTGCAGTACAATTGAAGCCTCATTGATCAAAGTGAATATGGTCAAACGAAAGCTGATAGAGGAGCTCATGAGCTTTACAGGTATGCAAAAATCCCCCAGCACTGACTGTGCTTCTTCCTTTCTTCCCCTCTGCATACTTGCCAGTGGGGTTGCAAGAATCAGTTTAAACCCAGTTTAAAACTTGGGTTTGTTCTAATTCAGAATGAAAACAAAGATTACACCACTTTCTGCAAAATGGTCACTTGCAAAATAAATACTAGGACATTTTATGTTTAACATTTTTGATATGTGTAATTTTGGCATGTCTAATAAAGTATGATTTTAGAACAGAAGAATAAGAGCTGTATGAAAGCATTAAAAACACAGTATGCTGAAAAATTCACTATCAAAACCTTCTTTCATGTCTCTTGTTCACATTAAATTTTCTAAGAATAAGCTTGCTTGCACCACAAGTTTTGGTTACACTAAGAGCTGTTTCCAACAAAATACTGTCAGAAACTTTTCAGCTACATCTTTCAGGAGCCATTTGACTCCTTTTCGCCTTGCCTTGTTGCCAGAGTAACTCAGAACTTCCCATATGGAATATACAGATACGTGCAAGCTAGTACTACTACCCAAAGAAACAAGCTGCCCTCGTTCTCATCCCTATGTCCTATCTTCTCTTGAGTTTGTGTTTAGCAGCCATCCAGTGAACTGATCACGGAAGTGCTTCAGGTTAAATTAGCAATCTGTTCTAACTTGGCTGTGTGGGTGACTGTACTTGCCCAAGAGAAGAAACAGCAGGATGTAAAAGGAGGGAATGGGAACAAGCAATTAGGGCTTGACAGAGCTGCTTGATTTAGGTGAGATGTTGGCATAATAAATGACTCTGAAATCATGACCAGATCTTACCTCCAGCCTAACAGAATTCCAAATGCTGCTATGGTAGATTTGCAAACAGGTATTTTCAGGCATCAAAATCTATGAATGACTTCAGATAACTACAATTGCTTTACATTTTTGTGTAAGTAAGTGGATAGATCCTCAGCCTATAGAATTCCATAGAACTGTGTAGATTTGCACTCACTTGGATCTGAATCACAAAAAAAAGATAACTGATTTTTATATATATATATACATATATATGTTTATATATGCTAATAATGAGCATAGGGTTAACATTATAACTTCATATTACAGTTTCTTATTGACAAGCATTATATGGCCCAGTTAGATAAACAGTATTGAAGACTGTTTAAAATTAAGGTAACAGCCTAAATCCCAGTGTATGCTGAGGACAGGGTACAGGTTTATTCGATTTTCCTGCTGCATTTTAAATGTCTGTATCTTTTGATAGTTATTTGTTACCTGGCTACTTTTCAACTAGAAGAGCTCGGTCTCCAGCACTTCAGCAGAACTGTGAAATCTCTGGACACTGCAAAAATGCAAAAGGTAATGAAAGTACAAAACATTTTTTAAATATGGATGAATGATTTCTTCATTAACTTTGATTAATCAGATCACTTTTGTCACGTTTCAGAATAATTTGAGAAGTGAGTTATTTCCTGCTTAAATTTGGCAATTAAATTAGTATTTTATCACAGAAACCTTCAGTTTCTATACTTATGCAGGAACTATCTCATATTCCATCAAGGATCAATTTAAAAAAATATTTTATACAATCTGAGAAGGTAGAATAATCACATTATTTACAGTTCATGTGATTTACAGCTGTCCCTCTCATGTGTATACTTGCTCTTGGCTCTGCTCGCATTCTTTCTTTCACTTCAGGAAGGAGAAGCAGCTTTTTCCATATGCAGTGAATCACAGTTCCTGCTGATTAGTGTTTTTTTTCCCTGAACAACACACTACCACTTCCATTATCAAGCCTATTGTCCTTCCACCACTTTTTCTCCTTCCCAAAAACACAAGTGCTCATTTGGAGTACCCCACTTACAACAAATGTGCAGTTGACCAAACCATTGCTGCCAAACAGAAAGCAAGGCAACAAAGGTCTGCCTGCTTTTCCCTCTCTGCAGTCACAAATTTGGGCTTTGTTCCATGACTTTTTTGGTAACTTTCATGAAATTTATAGAAATATAAATATCTCCAGCTTCTCTTTCCTATCTTAAAAGCTATGTTGTAAAAAGGGGCAGAGGGATAAACCGAGCAGCAATGCTTTCTTATAAGACCTGTTTTCTTAGGAAAATGGGCTAAAAATTAAATTACTGGTGACACAGCATATGTAAACTTTGATCATCCAGATGTTTCAAAGAATAGTCAAAACATGGCATTTGAATAACTCATATGGAATTCAAAAGACAGGCAAATTTTAGTAATTAATACTGAAAAGGCTGAGGTTTATCCTTACACTGATTACTCTGAATGGTCATGTGGATGCCGGTGTCTCTTTGATGAGTACGCTTTCTTTGTAATATGTGGGGATAGAGTAGGTTAGGTTGTCTGCATAACATTTTTGGAAACACTCTATTCACTTTGTTTTGATGGGTTTACTATGGAATGGTTTTTATTAATTCCATTCAGAGACAAAAATGATACATTTCATTAACTGTTAGAAAGAACAGAGAGGTGGCTGGAAGAATTATCATAATCTGGTAGACAGACAAATCACTCTGTCTAAAATGCTCTCTCAGACCTTTCTTTGGTAAACATCTTAGATACAAGCTACTCGATTGGATGCATCTTGAGCTCATTCAGCTAGCAACATAATTTTCCCAGTTCATGCCAGTTATCTCTTGCTGATGCTGTTCACCTAGCTTTACATGGCTTAAGTGTCAGTGCCCTGACATTCTGTTTTAGATCATTTCTCCTTCCTTGTCTGGTATAACTCTTCTGATAGGGAAGTGCTGCATTGTGCAAGGGTCTGCACCTGCTACCTTTTTTCCTGTAGATGTAACTTTGTTTGCCTAAGTATCTTATCAGATCCTTATCACCATGGTACCTCGCTCTTCTCTTGCATTAGAAGAGGTTCTTTGTCTCCAAAGTGATGCTAGATTATATTAATGCACCTGCAGCAGAAGATTTAGAAGCAGCATTTGGTCCCCCCCCAGCAACAGAGACAAAAGCAGCAGAAGGCAGATCTGCAGCCTTAGCAACAGAAATTATCAGAAATTTGGGATTCTCCTTCAGGATGCTGACCTGTAGATTTTGCCGGATGACTATTATGTCCCAGTTCAGTTGAGATGCAGAAAAATTATTCACATATATTTACTCAGAATAGATTTACTTTATTTAAAAAATATTTTTTTCTGCACATCACAGGCTGAATGGAATTTTCTTACTCATGCAGATATATCTTACTCAAGTGAGTAGCCTTTAGTTAAATGAAATTGACTTATGTGAGTAGATCTTTTGAAGGCCTGCGTGATGGAATCCATTCAAGTCAAAGTCACAGTGTTTCCCTATGACTGATGCATACATTTTCATTTAGGCAGAATACCCAGGCAGAATAATAATGCTACCTCACTCACACATGTACATCTGCTTGAGCAGAAATTCATAAGCTCTCATTCTGCAATATTATGAATACATGCAGATATCTTTATGGCTGTATAATTACAGAACCATAAGATAAAACCCAATTTTGTAACTTTAGTGTGATTGTTCTTCTAAGAATTTAGCTGTGTATTGCTAACTGAAGCCTATATTTCTGTTCTAGTATTCATACGTTAGTCTTTTATCTTTGTTGTAAAACTTAAGGGTTTGTTAGAGAAAATGCACTGTTAAAAAATAAATGCTGAAGTAAAAAGCTTTATGATTTCATAATTGCCTTGTAAAAAATGCAAAATAACCAGTGTTTCCTTTCTAGCATTCAAGAACCTGTTTTGTTCCATTCCATGTTCTGATTGTTTCTAACAGCAGTAAAGTCCTCTCTAAAGAACTTCTGAGATCTGTTAAGGAAAATCACTACATAAGATCTGGGTATTGTAATTGCTATTATGATGAGGTAGGAATAGCAGGACAAGATTAGTAAGAAGTAGGGCAAGATCAGCCACATGGTGGACATAGGTCAAACAGTAGCAGAAGGACCTGAGACTATGCTAGGACACTTTTCTCTACACCTTTACCTCAGGATCCTTAAAATAGCGTTGTCTGTTACAATTTCTTCACAGAAAAAGCCTTCTTAAGAGCTTCTTGCCTTCCTCTGCATTTCTCTGTTGCAGTTGAACGGTACAATCTCACAGGTGGTTGAGCCTGCATAGCTGAAGTTCTAAACTACAATAAGAGGGAAAGAATCAGGAGGTGAAAAGAGAAGTGTACAGAAGCCTCCTTGATTGCATTTGCTACTACAGCAGATAGCTGTGGGTGTATTCTCCAGTGGCTGACCTTCATGGAGAAACAGAACCAGCTGTTTCTTGAAGTTACTTCCTTAACTCCAGAGTCAAAAGCTTATGTTGTGAATATAAGGACTTCAGCTCTGCAAATTACTGCAGGGATGTGAAGATAATACCAGATGAGGAAACGTCCCATTTTCTGTGTTTATTTGGAAATTTGTACAATCCCACTGTGTGAAAATATGTTAAAAATATTAGCAGGGCAGGCTCAAATTCTTAAAAGCAAGGTATTCATTCAGCCCATCTGTAAAAATGCTTTACAAAGCTGTCTTCAGTTATACACACTTGTCTTACTACAGCCAGAGTACGTTAAAATAGTAAGAATGGGTACAGTTAATTTCTGGTGTAATTCCGCCCCTTCCTGAAGAGAAATTAATCTTAGTTACTATGCTCTGTGAGTTGTGAAACTCTTGAAACATTCAGGACAGAGGAGTAAGCAGAATAATGCTGTTACCAAAATGACTGTCCAGTGCCCTCTCCAAGGAGGCAGATGCTGGTAACATCCAAACAGAAATCTGTGAGTACTTCAAGTTTCATTTTGCTCCTATAAATAAAGCAGTGGCTGCTGATGTTGGGGTTGTCACCTGTGTCACATGTCACCGAAGACAAACCAGAAATACAAGGAATTTTTCCTAGCAACTAGGTTCCCAAAACACAGAAGTTTCTATTGTTAAGCAATGAGATGTGCTGTGGCTTCATGGATCTTATTCTGCCGACATTTGCCATCTGTGATACACATTATCAAAACCAAGATTGTGGACTTCAGCTCAGGCAGACTCTGGTCAGAAGCACAATAGATGAAAATAAGACTAAATTTAAAGGTTAATTCCTTAGAAATGGTCACATCGGGACTATAGGTTTCAAGTAGAAGGCTTCCTACACCTGTTGAACATCTGCAGCAAACACCTTGGGTCAAATCTGAATTGTTTGTAGGTGAATTATTCACAAAGCTCTGAGCCACCTTGGGCCTAGCACCACCTGTGATGTAGGAAGCAACGTGGTGGTACTCCAGAACTAAAAACTCAATATAACAACTTATATGATAAATGGTTTCTGTGGCAACCAACCCAAGGCAGAGCTGAACTAACAAGCTCCGCAGTCTCCATTTGTAGCTTCTCAAGTGACTGCACACTGCTTTCCAGCATCTCTCATCATGTCAATATTATTTAGTGTGCTTTTTTTTCTATTACTGGAGTTCTTTCAACACGATCCTTGCTTGTACTTTCATTTCCAAGAATTTTAATGAAAAAGTTCAAGTTTGGCATTTATACTTCTGCAAACGACACACGCTGAATCTGAGTGCCGTTTTCTAAGAGTTTGTTTCAAAAGGCCGTTTGAACTGTTCAACTTTTAAAGCAAGGCTCTTGACCTTCTGATGAACTCCAGTGGGAAATGAAAGTTCAAATGTTAATTGCTGTTTTTCCAGCATGTAGAGCCCTATAATATGTAAGTTTGCCAAATTTTAGTCTTCTAGTTTAATGGGAATATGCCAGTTCATTATATTTCAATAAAGGAAGAAACCATATCGTACAGCAGTTACAGTGTTCTCAGCAGTTCTCCTTGCCCAGTTCTCAGGGAGCTGAAGGGAATTTAAGTAATACAGGTGCAGTGCCAGGCCTGACATGTTTCTGGGCACCAGGGATCATCTAGCTGTAGATAATCAGGAGTTGATTGTAGGTGTAGTAGACTCTGGAACTCTATTGTATAATTACACTAAAATCAGTGTATTTCAGTAGAAATTAATTTTGAATAAAGACTTTTGTTTCACAATGTTTGAAGCAAATGAAAGGCATCAACACAACCCCATGTTTTGGCCCCTAGATTTTTTTAGGCCACTAATAATAGTATCTATTTGTGTTTGACAAAACAGGGCTGAAAGACATGGGGCTATCCTAACAAAACTAAGGAGAACCTACAAATGCTGTGCAGCTGTGATTATAATTACAGGGTAAAATACAGGCAAGCTTTTCAGCAGTGTTTGTAGTAAAAGCAACTATCTTTTCGTAGCCTTACATACACCATACCTTCAGTATCCATGTTTAAAAGAAGCCACTTCTTAGTTTCTTAGATTCTTCTTCAATCCCTTGTATCTGAACACGTGGATAAAAGATGAATGGAGCCGGTTCTACAATTCACTGTATGTAAAGGAGAACTGGATTGATCCACTGCTGAGGTAAGCAGCACTTAAGTAGCCTTTGGCCACCTCAGAGTTTAAAAGCTGGGAAAGTTGCCTTTGAAAGCTCAATTTGCTGTTAGTTTCTCCTATTGAAGTCACTCAGAACCCTCCTTGTCTTCCACAGACTATAGTAATCCCTTTTACTTACCCAGAGGCAAGGTTCTGCTATAGAAAAGCCCTTTCAGAGCTGTTGTGCATTTGCTCCTCAGTGCCCCTGGACAGATCAAACATCATACTCTGATTAAAAAAATAAAATAGAAGGTTCAGATTATCATAGAGTTGGACTCATGCCTCATAAATCACTTCAACATCTGTATGATATTAAGCATTTAAAAAATGATGTTTGACTTCCCTGAGTTTGGCTTTGTGCACAGACTTGTTTATGGCAATGGTCATGTAATCCCTTCTGAAAAAATCAGATAAGCAAGTAAACAAGTATTTTAAAATTATTACTTATTTACACAATTGCAGCATCATTTAACAGGTAAATGCTCTGAGGTGCCAGGTGTGTCCCCACATTGGTTAGGTGGTGAGACAGGAGCTGAAATACCTTTGCCAAACTAGAACACTTTCATGTAGAGAAAGTAGCTCTGCAGTAGCTGCAGTAGCTCTGCAGCCTATTGGGTCACTTTTTCACTCTCATTTTTGCCCAGGACAAATGAATTAGGGCTGGCATCGGTACACCAATGTGGCTGCAGTCACTCATCCTCCTCACTGCACTGTAGATTAATCCAGATGATGACAAACACTGTCAGTCAAAAATACACTACAAACAATGTCAGCTGAAAAAGAGTTTGCACCTAGTTCTGTCATATCCAAGTCAGTAGAAAGAATCCTTTCATCCTATGTAGAATATGCCAGATTAGCAAATGTATAGTATGGATTTGGATTTTGATACTCCATATTCCACTGAATTCTGCAGGCACTGCAAGGATAAATCTAAAGTCAGAATATTACTCAGTATATTCCATCACAGTGATCTAATTATAATCTATGCTTACGGTAGTATAAAGATACAAAGAGAGATTTGTAGGTAGACATATACCCACATATCCACACAGGTTTTATATCTACATATGCAGGCAGGCAGGGGCTTAATCTATTGCTTGTTTCATCAACACCAAGTTTTCTGGAGCTGTCCTTCACTGCCAATTGCCTTCAAAATAATGAACACGTGTTTTGCCTAAACTAGTAAATATAAGTTATACAAGAATGTTAAACGCCATATTTGGTTACCGGATTTGAAACTTCCTTCAGGGGTTGAGGATGCATTGATCAGTTTAATCAGTTTGGTAGCTTAAATTCTTTTAAGTATGTCTTTGTATTCCTCTTTTGAATGTCAATAAGGTTAATATAATTATTTTAGTGGGCTGCATTATTTGCAGAAGTTACTTGCAAGCCTCATCCCATAATGACAGTACGATCGCAGGTAACAGCCACATAATTGAGTTACTGTAGATTTGCATTGTCAGATGCTCTTTAAGTTCTGGTAAAGCTCTGTTGCATATCTAATACTTAAGGACGGAACACATACAAAGGAGGAAAAACTGCCATGAAGCTGTCACCATACGTAGCCCTCTGATAACTTGTGTCTTTGAATTCTGCCCCTTCCTGCCATTCACTGGAAAAAGTCTGAACCTTCATGCAAGCCAAAATCCAACCACACAGAAATCAAAACCATCTTGACTGTCCCACAGGGTTCACTGAAAGTTCATTTGCTAATTCACCAAACTCCTTACATCTTGCTACTTTTTTATTAGAACTGCCTATGTTTTGAGACTGATTTATGTGTGCTCTGTCAGTTGGTAGAAGTGGCAATACTCAGACCACAGTTCATATTCTCTTCTAAGTATGTTAAGTGTGTACTTGGCTTATGGCAGCTGCTTTTCTGATTCAGTCTGGTCCTGCTGCAAAATGATAGTTGCTTATTGAGTAGAAACTGGCTATTTCACGTTACTTGTCTATCAAGAGATGAGGTAACACAGTCCAACTAAATAATGAGTGCACGTTCACAGGTCAATTCTATTTAAATTCAGTGTCTGAAAGAATTACAGGATTCGCACCAGTGCCAACCTCATCTACTGCATGTAAGTTTTTATGAAAGAAAAAATAAACTAAACTGAAAAATCTGTTTTTATTTGAAGATGGCAGCCAAAAGTACAGCAACTGATTGAGCAGCTCACAGATAAGTTAAGTAACCGCACCACCACTGTGAAGACTTCAATGGTCACTCAGCCGAAGGAATTCAATTTGACAGTACCCAAACCACGTGCCATTCCCATACCTCTGCCGATACCAGTACTGGAAAAAGGGCTGCCTGTGAGTTTTTTATGCATGAAGAGATACTAAGTTTTACATATGCTTGTGCACAAATGATGATAGGGGAGTTAATAGTCTCTTTAAAGTAATTATACAAAATCTGCAATCTTTGACAGATCAAAAAGGATTTTTGTAATGTTCTGTGGTCAGGTTTTTAAAACCAACCAAACTAAGTTGTTTTATTTCAGTGAGTGTTTTGTAAGAAAGGAAAGGGAAAAGGTTGGTTCCCATAGTTGTTTTGTGACTTTTGGAGGTAGAAGTATACAATGGGTACGAACTGATGACAGCATTGATACAAGTGTTTCTGGTAGTCCTTGGATTTGTAAGATGTTTGCTTTGAATAATGAACTGAAGCAAGTAAGAAAAGAACATTCAAGTGATACTCTTTATAAACTTATATGTTTCGTAGATGAACTCTCATTAAAATAATGGCAAAGCAATTTCACTGGAGGTGAGATGGACTTCAGGTTTGCAGCTCCTCCTTAAGGGTGGAATTTTATTCCTATTTGTATTAATGATGAATCTCTAAAATTAAAGTTTTCCAGTTTAAATGTATTGCTCACATACAAATGAGACTAGATTTATCTTTGAAATGCTAAGCTTTTATTTTACTCATTGTCTAAGACTGTGATTCAGTTACAGTGATACAGATCAGAGACACACGATTGGCTTTAAGTTAGCTCACTGCAATAAACAGGATTTGGGATCAAGCTGCTATGACTAACTTAATAAAGACTCCAAAATCATCTATATTTAAATGAAGTGGGAAGTGAGTTTGGAAGTCATACTTTTGGACATTATCTGCCACCTTGTATTAGCACTTCAGGTTTTAAATAATACATGTGTTGAATGCTCTCAGAAACCATTTACATCCTAGGATGGCAGAGCAATTTAATGATACTGTGTTATACAGTTAATGGGATTTTATATTGAAACAGCTTAATACCAGGCTCTGAAAAACTGCATTTAATAACCACTTAATCAGTATAGGAATGAGTCACATTGCTGTCATTTTAGTACCTTTATGCTGTGCAGCCCCTCTAAGAATAAATTTGCTTTAATGCAGATGCATTTACAGAAGTTCATTTGTGTTGTTAGGATTATACTAAATTTGGTTTACATTCTGACCAAGCCTGGAAATTTAAAAGCCTGTGTGAATCTAAAACTATTAGTACAGTAGTGACATATGCTGTGCTTATCTCTGTACCCATCTCAGCAAATTAAGCTTCACTTTAATTTTCCATACTGTTGCCAGTATCACCATTTTAGATGCTGAAATGAATGGAGACTGAAAAGAGAGCCCAGATGGCAAGAACGAGTTAGTAAAATGAGAGCAGGCCATAGTTCTGGCTAATGTATGGTGGAGAGTTGTATGTAACTGAAATGAACACACAGAAATAAACCTGCTTCAGAATACATCCCATAATCTGCAGAAATGTTCTCGACCATTTTCTGACAAAGTTGTTTGTTTTATGAGATACCCATTTTTTCTCACAGTTCTCATGCATCTGTCAAAGAACTTGTCATGTGGTATATTAGCAGGGACTATTGTAGTCACAATAACTACAGGCGTAGTTACTGCTCAACTTTGAAAGAGCTGTATGAATTCCTGCGGAGGCGTCTGGATTTTGAGCAATGCCTACTGATAAGTTATTGCATCCCTATGGTGAAACGAGTTCATTCTGATTAATGGGATTATTATTTAAGGTATTTCTTTCTGCTAGGTTGCATTATATTTTCTAGTAGAGATAAAATGAGATGCAAGATGAGATGTACAACATACTTTGAGTTCAGGAGGTGGGGTAGTACTTCTGCCCTGTTCCTCTGTGTTCCTTCACCAGGGAGGATGAGAGATGTGAGATACTGCGGAAGGCAGGGTAGTTGTCTTAGTGATCTGTATTGAGATGTGACTGTCCGCTGACTTTGGGAAGTTTCCTTGGAGTAACATAGACCTAGAAGGATGATCATTCATCATCATAAAAGTTCCTTAGCAATGGGGCACACTAAGTGATATGGAAATATACTTTAATTTTTTTCATTTAATAATGAATCATTTCACTCCAAATATTTGGTCTAAACATTATAAATCCTTCTCTCCACTGTCCTTTGCACACAAAGACATGGATACACACACAAGCATGCACATATATATACACACCTTCATAAATACACTTCTACAAATTAACATAAGTGCTTCAGCTTGAAGTTTGCAAAGGAAACAAATGGAGACAGATGCTCAAACCTGATAACATGCAAAATGATTTGGACACATTTAACTTCCTTGGATCTTGGCCTTGGGTTACAAATAAAATCCGTTCTTTTAATGTCACCACTCTATTAGAATAATAAGATTCTGCAATTCTTTTATTTTTAGATATTCTGTAAACCAATCATCTAGTTAAAAAAAAAAAAAGAGCTGCACTGAGATGTTATTGCAACACCCTTCAGCCAAATTTAGTGTATTTTTTTGATATATTCCTTATTAGTTCAGCTGTGCTTCATAAGCAGAGTTGCTGGTTTTTCAAAGTAATTAAATGGGTGAATTCATTTGGACAATACAGAAGATTTTGTTTGCAGATACACAGACCCAACAATCTATTTATGATATTGTTATGGATAAAAATAAAAGCTCTTAATACAATAGCATTGCATTAGTTTGCTCTTGTTTATCTTATCACAGCAACTTTAAACAAAACAAAAGAGCAAAGACTACCAAAGTTCAGAGTGATTATTTATTTAGGTCTTCCTTAAACTTCTTGTGGTACCTACTCCCTAAATAAACCTCTAGTAAAGGACATCCAGAAAGCAAAGGGAGCCTGACCACTGGCTGGAGAAGAAAAGCAAGGTTGGTGCCTCTTACTGCCAGCCTCCCTTTTTTCACATTAGGATGAAATAGGAACAGTTTGGGCTTTTTTATATCTCTATTGCTGGCATTTTCAATTTACTTACAGTGACTGATCCTCTTCCAGCAAGTGGGTAATTGCTGTATTGTCTATCTGCCTGCCTGATTGGTACTCATCACTGTGGTACCTGAGGGCTAAACTACAAGGCTAAGATCATTTTTGAAACTGATTGGAAAGTCTCCTTAAATTACCTGGAATAAGCAGAGCAGTTTCTGAGGAGGGATCTTCAGTTTACACTGGCAGATGAGCACAGTTTTGCAGGTAAAGCACATGACTAGGAAGAAGGGTGAAATAAACCAATACTCACTGCCTGTGCAACCCTTTTCAAATCCTCTGGGCTTTAATTTCTCCATCCATAAAAGCATAATAAAAATTCTTTGATACTGCTGGGAAATGCTTTCGGTTCTACCTCACTTAAAAAGCTCACAAAAATACATGAGCAGTCTCACCAGTGCATTTAATTGCTAGCTTCTTCTGTTTGCGCATTTATTTTGTCTCTAGATAATGATGTCAAATAGCAAAGGCAATGGAAAGTACATCACATTCATGAGAATTTCAAAGCATAGTTCTTTATATAGTGCAGTAAATCTAGATGGGATCCCCATGTTCCTCCAGTACAGTACAGATTATAGATTTTTCCCATTAATTCTCGAATTAATTCTGTAATTTCTAATTGAGATATGACATTTTTAGCAAGATAAATATTTAAGCAGATGTCCAGTAAAGTGGCAGACTATCCCACCTACATGGGTGGGTGAGGTATTAACATTGGACAGGACTGGAAAGCCTGGGTAGTCCCAGCTAATTGGAATCTGTCCATGTCTTCCACACTGGCGCTGATAGAAAAAAAAATCAATAATTAAAAAATAACTGCAGCCCTTCTATAGTAAAAGTGAATGTGTTTTTTTTCCTGTAAGAATGTGTCACTTGGAATATTTTATGCCCCATATTGTAGACATTATTGCCTTTTAATATAGGTTCCTCCAAGCACCTACAAATCTCCAAAGGAAAAAAAGCAACTAGAGCAAATCAGAACCCAAAATCGCCGAAAAGCAGAAGTAAGTGTATTATTTTCTTGTTCTGTTTTTTTCTTTCTTCTGAACTGTTTCTTCTGCAATGTTCCATCTTCACAAGTCTTAGAACTTTAACTGAAACATATTTGCTTTTGCACCTAATAGCTCCTGGCTCTTTCTCTAGAGACATGGAGTTTGTATCCTGTATTCTGTTCTATCAGAACAGAATCTATCTATCTGCTTTTCCATCTTCTTTATTTTATTAATAATTGTTCTTTTATTCACAAGTACTGTTTGAGAAATTATGCAAGTAGCCATGTAAGGTAGCAGAAACACAATTACTCTCTTCACAAGCTTGAAATAGTTTAATGGCTCTTTTACTCCCACAGGATGTGGATATTTAAGGTATTCACTTAATAATTAAGGCTTCAAAAACAATGTTCAATATTTTTGTTTGTTTTCTATAGTAACTGGTAAATGCCCACGTCATCACCTACTGTTTTAAAATACCAGCAGATTCTAACTTCTTTTTCATGCAGACTCCATATTCTTTCTATCAGCAGGCTGAGTGGGAAGTGTGCATGATTTGTAAAGAAGCAGAATACATTGTGTGTTAAGAGGGCAGGAGAAGGGAGGCCTAGAAAAACAAAGAAACAGATCTAGTTATTTGATCCAAACTTTGATATGAATCCTGTCCAATGAGTTAGCTCCTACCATAGTTAAAGCAGATTGTTGTCCTCTTCTCCTTGAAGGGAACTAATTAAACGTCAATTTCCACCTTCTTCCTTCCTCCCTACATTGCAGTCACCATATCCAATCGAAGAGCAGTATAAGCTTGATAAAGGCATGCTACTTGACTCCTTTTTATCTGCACTTGCCCACCCCCATTCTGAAAATTACTTACTCTTCACTAGCCAGTACAAGTTCATTTATCACTGTTCTGGGCTCTCCTCATGTCCTTGTGAAAGGAGCATTGGATTCTGCCATTAAACAATAGTAAATGCCTTGATAGGGGATACATCCGAGGGGATACACTTTGCATTCCTTTTGCTGGCCCATCACATTACTTATGCTTGTTATTTTGTTATAAAACAATACAACTTTATTTTTTATCCTTTTATGATTTCCATATTGTGGATAAAGCATACACCTATTTGTCTATGTGCTTATTTGTATATACAAACTTCCTAGAAAAACTGGGGAGGAAAAGCAAGATATCACAGTGCTTATATTGTCAAAAATCTATGACAACTATAAAATCACTTAAACCACCAGTCACGTTCTTCAGTAGAGAAAGTGCATGAATACAAGGAACAAAGGAAAACCACCATAGAAATTATAGCTGCAATAACAACAGTTTTTGTTGCCTCTGGAATGTTACAAAAGGCATCCAAAGCATTCACAAAGGTCAGTTCCCTAGACTGTTTGCTAAACAGCTGAAATGTTGGGTCCTAAAAGAAATATGCATTTAAAAATGCCCCTTGTTTCACAGCATTTTTGCAGAAGCTATAGCTGTCACTGTATCATCTCTGAGCATCTATAAGGAGTGAGAACACTGGAAACTGTACTCCAGACACTTATAGAAGCACTGATGTTATGGGCAACTTCTGTCCAGAAAGCCACTAGAAAATCTATGTGTTTCATAGCTATGATTAGAGATTTGGATTACAACCAAAAGGAATATCCCAAAACTAGAAATGTGGCTGCCCATACTCCCCACTTTAAACTGACTGGTAAGATTACTGCTAGGGGTGTGGCTACTGGAGCAACTCTCAGTGTTCAGATCCCCCAGTCATGATCTTCATTGTTTGTTAGCTATGTGGAAATAATTACTACCTATGGTACTAATGTGCCACAGATAATTATGAGGTTGAATTCTAGATGAGCAACGTTTCATATATGCAGACCTGTCAAAGGCATGATGCAAAGATACAACCAGGCAGAACTATGTAGAAAATCAAGACTTGCCCACTTCCAAGTCTTTAATCAGGAATGAAAATACTAGATCAAGCTTTCATTCCTTGCAAACAAGTTAATATACTGAGTTGCAAGGCTTTCTGAAACAGAAAATTCTTACTACATAATTTACATGTACCACATTCTTTAAGCTAATTGCTTTCATTTTAGGATCTGCTCCTGAAAGCAAATGCTGACCGGTTCAAGTGTGCAATCATGAAGTCTGAAAAGGCAGAGGTATGCTACAAAATACTTTATTGCCTAAAAATTTACCAACATGAAGATGAAAAATGACTGGAATATTCAAAGATATCTCAAAGTATTCAAAAATTTTTGTTTACTTGGGGTTAGGAATTATGTGCTTATCATTTATAGTTGTACTGTCATTTCACATCCATATACTAACATTTGCCTCTTTGGGTGCATAATACACAACCCCTTTTCTTATACTTCTTGTGCTGCTTTATTAGTCTTCTAATTTGAGAAAAGCAGCCTTCCTGTGATACCCCTCCCAACAAGTCCCCAAACTGGCCATTTTTCTCTAAACCCACATATTATTTTTCCATTAACTTTTATGCCACAAAGCAGACAAACTGTGGGAATAACGGTCCCATTCATACAGAGTTCTTGCTTTGGTTGATTCCCAGTTCACAAGTATGTCACCAAACTGTGCGTGTAATATATCCATGTATATTCATTTCAGCATCACATCCGCATATTCTATTCACTGTGTTCATCCCCATGGTCCCAGACATTTCCACATCAGGATCTATAGCCAACATCACAAAATTAAATTAATAACCATCAGCAGAATTCTACCACTATTTAATATTTTCACAAAGTGTGCTTTGACACTCTACTTTGTCTTCCCAATACCTATTTCAGTTGAGCTGAATATTTTAATATAGATAGGTAATATTTTGTAGTCAAATAAAGCATTGCTGTTACTTTTTTAGCATTATTATAGACAATAAATTTTAGTCAACTTTTGGATTTACCATTGTATGGTCATTTGGTACAAAATATTCCCTCTAAGTTGGAAATACATAGTAAATTTTTGTGGATATAGCAATTCCAAAATAAGTCCCTTATGATAATATTTGTTACTCCAGATTAATATTCTAGGTGAATATTCAAGAATGATTTTTTGGTAAATATCTAATATTTTTTGCTGTGTACGTGAAAATCTGCCTCTGAAATGAATTAATGTATTTTTGGTTTGAACTGCAGAACATGCAGTATGAAGACAGTATGAAGAGTAAATTTCAGGCTCGAAAGGTCCAAAGGAAGGTGAGTAACCTCTAAGGTACTGTTGTCAGATGTACTTGAAAACTTCCGAGTGAAAACCATGCAAATTCTGTGGTGCTGCAAACTCTACTGGAATCCATGTTTTTACATTGTAGCCAGGACCATGGGAATCATGGAGTCTGTGGCTCAAAAAATTTGGCTTGTGCACTATTAACAATCCAAAAGATATGGTCAGGGAGCAACAAGTGTGTGGCAACTCCAAGAGGGAAGAGAAACAAGGAGCAAAGGTGATGAAAACACAGGCAGTGTTCTCACCAACCAGGCCACAGCATCTGAACATGACAAGGTTGGTGGTAAAGCCAGGTTCTGCTGAGAGCAAGACATCATTAGACAAGCACGTTAAAAAGTCAGGTCTGGGGCCACCCAGGAAGTCCAGTCAGGAGGCAAGGCTTCAACAGCAACCCAAGTCCATGACAGCAGGAGACAGAGCTGGAGAGTATTACTTCCAGCATAAGGGAAAAGACTGAAGCCCATAACTGAGCTTAAGTGGGCCTCCCAGACAAGTGAGCAGAAGGTGTGAAGGGAGGTTCTAAGTGAGGCTGGTCAGGGCAACAAAGACATATCTGTTCCCTGAGGGGCCTGACAGGTGAGTCATGTGCAGTTTTCCACAGAAAAAAAAACAAAGCAAAGCAAGACAAAACAACCAACCCCTCAAAAAAACACAAGAACTGTAAACCCCTGGTTTAAGAGCTCAGCATAGGGACAGAAGAATGTTGTGTCCATAAATCACTGTTTCAGAATGATATCCCAGAGGATGCTGAGTAGACATTCCAGGTAATGACTGCCTGATACACAATATACAATCAGTCTGGATGTTTGTCTTGTTTCCTTTAGACACACACTGAGGTCATAAAATCCACTATACTGATTGCTGCTTTGCTAGAATTTCCAAGAGTCAGAGAATTGTAAGCATGGAAAATGGGCTGTTCAGCCTTACTGCTACAACGCATAAAAAGTGAAGTCGGTATTTCTGCAATAACTACTAGAATCTTCAGTCTTACATCATTCACCTTTCCTTTGTTCATATGTAGAATAATTTAATGTGGAAGTTGCCCTTGTATTGTGACCTCAAATATCTTCTGAGCAGGTCTAGCTTCTCTTTAGAACTATGTATTTAGGTACGGCTCACACACACTTCGGTAAGACTGATTCCCTGTTTGGGGAACTGGACATCTGGCAACTGTTTCTAAAGCATATCTGGCATTAATCATATACTGAAGTTATCTTTAATAAGAGTATCACTGACTCAGTCTCCTTGCCTGAATCCAACTGCACTAAAATGACAGGAAAGCAGTAAGATCCCAGTGCCTTCTGCACTTGAAAGAAGGGGGCGAGTGGGGAGGAACAAACCAGGAAACACTTACATAGTTAACCCAAATACACGTGACCTATAGCTGTGGGGCTTAGTTCAAGACTATGTATATCCCACTTCCTTTTCTGATAGTGTAAAGTACTGAAACCTAATGAGAGTCAAGCCACCTCCTAACTGCATAAAGTATGGGTTTGGCATCTTATGGCATTGATCAGGGCCAGTTCTAACAGCTGTTAGTATCTCCTCTAGGAGCATAGCCAGTTTTATCTCATCTGAACACATTTGCCTTAAAGGTTGGTTAGGTGATATCCAAGATGCTGCTGTAACTTCGAAGCTCAGACAGGCATATTGTTACTGACTTTTAAAATACTTCTTATTCCTGTTACCTTCCTGCCAATGCAACAATCTGAGTAGACAAATCCTAAGAGGAAGGTTTGTCCAAGATGTATAAATAGTATTAGAATGTGTCCTCAAATTAATGGAATTATATAATGTTTTCATCAAGTAGCATTTTCCATTCCTCTTTTTAGAACATCCACAGTGTATTAAATATATTTTTTCATTTCAGCCACATCTATTATGTGCAGCAGCAATTAGTTCTCATTGCTCATATATATTACTCATTGAGTAAGGCCTGATGTGAGCAAAAGGCAGATTGAGACAGTGATGATGCATTTGTACTGTCTCATTCTTCCAGTGAAAAGGATGAATAGATGTTTTGTAACAGCAATTATCCCAGTTCTTATCCCACCAGCACTGCTTTGCCTCCATTCAAATCAGGTCTCTTACAAAGTCTGCCTGCAAAGGTGATGTATTTTTTCTGAACAGCTGACCTGTACAGGGAACATTTTTAACTGTTAGACCAGTTGTTCCCTTCCTCCCTTAGTATTTAGAGGTTGTCTTGGAGTTAGTCCTAAGGCAACTTTGAGAAACTGAAAAGCAGCCACAGCATCTAGTCCAACTTACACCATGAAGCCTGAAAGTCACTGAGAACTGTACTTCACCTCTACTAGCTAGAAAATGGATACAGCAATTGGTGATGCCAGTTGTCTTAGAAATAGTATTTTGAAGTCCTAATAGTGACTAGAGACCTTGCTATGAAAAGTACTGCTTATGTCTGACTTTAATGGTTTTGGTTAACCTACCCTCTTTCAAAGAAGCAGTTTATTTTCTTTGTCCAAAAGCAGATGGAATCCCTGCTCACTATGTATATGAGCACTGAAAGAACTGAAAGGAAGTGAACACATTCTATGGGATTTGACATGGTCCAAGAGTGATTACAAATTTATAATCCACTTGGGGGACTTCGCTGATTTCTTAAGCAGCTTGAGTGGTTTACGAACAGCATGCAATTTCATTGCGAATGTCAGACTGATGCTGATGGATGCTTTAAGCAAAATTTATGCTATCTTAGGTCAATTTATTTAACCCATTGAAATGTTTTTATACTCTGTTTTATGGTTTACATTACTAACTATAGTATATACATTCCCTTTCCTGACAGATTGACAATATACCTATTAAATTAAATGCTGCAGCTATTTTAAGAGAAGGTGCCCTCTATCAGCGGAAAATGGAACAGGAGCTCAAGAGGTATAATCACACTTCTCAGATTACTTTTCAAATCCCTGGATAGAAAATAATTAACCACATTAAAAATAATTTAGTAAATTCCAGGTAAACTAAAATAATGGATCTGTTGTTAGGATCAGGAAGCTATTCTAGATAAAGAAAGAAGTGGAATGAAATGAAAGGCTACATTAAAGTCACTGTTCTACTGTAGATGCTGTGCAGTGGGGCTGTGTTCTCATTTAGCACTCTGGCTAGTGTCCACCTGCAAATTCCAATAAGCATCACTTGTTGTATTTATTCCCATTCTCCAGAATAAATGATGACCAAAATACGCATCTATTTCTCTGTCCATTATGAAATGCATATATATATTAAGCTATACAATTTAATATATCTCAATTTTCTTCAATGGTTTCAGGTCAACTACATAACAAATTTGATACTTGAATTTGTTTATATGTGTATAAGAATACCTGTCAAATTGTGTCACAGTTAGATTGGAGGTTTAAGAGTGTGATGCTGCACAAGATAAGCTAGGTGCTGAGGGTGGCAGCAAAGCAGGTAATGACAATGTCCTCACTGAGAGTAGCTCAGTTCCATAGTTCCCTGTCAAGACAGCAGAGCAGATTCAGTGACAGACGGAAGGGTTAGCCAATGGTCCAGTGATTGCTGTATGAGTCCATAGTGATGAGTCAGGGCTGAGGTCAAGCCAGGAAGCCAAGTCAACAAGGCAGGGTCAGCAAGGTGCTAGGCTGGGTGCAGACATACCTACAGTGTAGCTTAGGCAAGGACAAAGGCTATTAACAGCTTAAATGCGGCTCCCAAGGAAATACTCTGTGAGCTTACTTACACACACTCTACCTAAACTAGCAGGACTTTTCATAGCTCTTCCTCACACAGTAATCTCCACTCCAGCCTGATCCAATGTTATATGGTTGTATTGCATCTGAGCTGTCTTTAAAACACAAGCAACTAAATCCTAGGCAAGGGTGGGGAAGGACAGGTTGCAGGTCCTTTTGGTGCACTTAGGGCTCTAAGGAATGCTGATATAAAGATTTCTCTGACATAAGGAAGCCTTATTCAGCAGCACAGGTTTTCAGCAGACATTAACTAGGAAGAGGACAACTCCTGAATGGCTACTGTATTCTGTAACTCGAATTACAGAACATTTTCACTAATAATTTTTACAAAGATAAAGCCTGTATTGTGTCATGATTTAGTATTAGTTCTAATTCACCTAATTTAGCAGGCTAAGCACTAAATATTGTTAAAATTTCAAGTCCCAGAATGACTGCCTAAGGCTGGATTTGGTCTTTGGACCTGGAAAATTTTGGTATATAGATCAGGATTTTAGCAGTAAGATACAAAGCATCGCTCAGGTTCTGTATCAGCTGTGTATGTATAGTAAGGGTATTTTGTAGTATATGATACTGTTCACTCTATCTGGCAGAATTTTATTCCACTCAGCAAAGGAACAGATTTTCCCTGTAACTAAACACTATTTTATATTAATGAGTTTTAATCTTCTGCTGCATTTAACATACAACAGATACATATATATATATATGCATTGGGAAGCAGCCATAAGATGCAGTTCACTGCTTTTTTGTGTCTCTGCCCTAGCTCTTGGCTCATTCGCTCCTGTGCTGCAGGACTTTGATGGGCCAGCCCCAGGGCTTTACTATGCTCTTCTCTCTCAGCTGAGCACAGAAGAATAAGAATGTGGCTTTGCTTAATAGCTGAATACTTCTTTGCTTCATTACAGCAATATTATCTAATTGACAAAATACAAAACAGAAATAGAACTAAGCAGAAAAGTTTTTAGTTCTCTGTGTTAAAGTGGCCAAGAAGATTGTCAAAGAGAAAAGTTATTTGTTCTCTCTACCTCTAAGTAAAGTAATCCCTTGAGAAAATGTACATACCTGCAGCCTGATTCTTTCCGCTCCTTATGTGAATCCGTATGTAGCTAAAGTTTGCCCTCTCTTGGGGCTCTGTTTTACTAAAAACTCAGATCCATGCCCTCGTGCACTTTCTTCCAGTCTGGCTTTCCCAGGCTTTCCACACAGTAGGAACACCTCTTAGAGTGGAATTAAAATCTGTCAAATGACTTTGCAATGATTGCTTTTTTTCTCTCAGAGATCAAACACCTTATATCACGGCAAACTGCTAGAAATGTTTTATGAACCGAGGCAAGGCTGCAGAGCCAGATCCCCACAATAGGATTTGTTTTCCTCTCTCTTGCAGAATTGAAAATTTGCTGCAAGGGGCTGGAGACCCATCTGAATTCTTGGAATGGCAAAAACAGATGCGTGACAAAGATCTGGAAGAACAGCTGGCTGAAATAGAGTATAGGAGGCTTCAAGGAAAACTGAGTTATGAAGAGGCAGTTCTAGCCCATCAGAATGTAATTCAAGAAAATAAGAAGAAAGCTGATCTAATGAGAGAAGAGGTAATAGATGCAGTGGTGTTCAAATTTCCCTTACATTCAATCAGTGCACAATACACCACATATATAAGAAGGTGTAAAAGTTCTATACAGTGTCTTTACTCACTGGAATTTACAAACAATGGAAAAATAGTGCTATAACTTCCAGGTACACCAATGCTTATGCATTAAAGTACTTTTTACAAGTGTTTGATTTGATCGAAAACACTTACAAAGTAAATTGACTAAACCAGAGGTTAAAGCCTCCTCATGTCATCGTGCATATCATTTTTGAACAGATACTGAGATACTAAACACCATTTGCAATGAAATCAGCAATATATGACTAATTTAATTATCTTGTTAAAATGAGGGCCACAAATCTGAGAGGATTTGTTTTCTTAAACTGATACAATTCTTCATATTATCTGACATGCACAGATCTTTCTTAGGGGAAAGTTCAGGCAGAAAACCCTCTCTGGATCTCTATATATGGAAAACTGAATACTTATGCCAAGAAGTACTTTCACACAGCTTCTGATCTGGCAAATCACAGTTTCTCAAAACCATTGTTAGATCTTTTCATTATATTCCCAACCCACATTTTTTCCAGTTCTTTTCCTATCAACTAAATAACTGATTGAGAAATAACTAATGCTATAGTTTTAAATTTTTTCTTAGTCACTAATACAAGCCATTCTTTTCTATTGCCCCAGTTTGCTGCTACACCCTGTAGGCCACCCACTACATTTCTCTTGGCACCTCTCACAGATGTCTCTTCAGTGTCTCAGCAGCTTAAGATGGGACCACAAATGTACAAGATTTTCATAGACACACTGCAAAAAGGAAACTTGCTTAATCAGTTCATTTTATACTCTATAAAATCTTTCAATTTTTTTTGGCATTGAATCTTCATGTCTGTTTAGACAGGCTGTAACAAGAACTTAAAATGAACCCTGCTATGTACAATTTGGCATAGCATGATTGTTGACACTCGTTCCAAAATTATTGTAATTATTATATTCACCTCAATTTCAGAAACATATGTGTTTTATTTGTTAACAGAAATGCCCCATATGTATAGATTTAGGAATTTGCAAACCAGACTTGCTCTAACCTGATCAATTCCAGGCAGTTCCCTTCGCTTGCCAACAGATACCAGCAGGGCACTTCATCCATGTGAAGATCTCCAGAAGTACTGAGCACCAATTCCCCATTCATTAACAGTTGTCATGCTGACCCTTCTCCTTTCAAAACTCTTGTCTTCCATCTAAAACAGAAAAGACAATAAGAAATACAGTTTTCCGTTTCCTGTTCATTTCCTGTGACAAAGAAAGGAACATGATAGCCAAAAGTGGACTTCTGTATGTTACAGAGATATGACTTAAGCCCAAGACTATCCTGCAGGCAAACAACCTGCTGCGTATTAGATTAGCACTCTTCCTGTTATGTCACAACCAGATCCAGAGACGGGGTTGTCTGTTTTTAGAAACGTGGGAGGGAATCCTGGAAAATAGCAGTGCAAATGTTATTGGTAAATAAAACATAGGGAGGGGAGCTTAAAGATGGGTCTCTGTGTTGTCCCCAGCCAATGTCCTTGCTACTTTTGTGAACGATGTAGTACTTCAAATCCAATTTTCCTTACCCTATTTCAGTGATTTGAGGCAATCAGATCACCAGTTACCACGAGTTTTATTCACCTGTTTGTTTGGGATTTAGAAAGCAGATCTGATGCACCAGTATGAAGAGAAACGTCTGCAGGAACAGCAAGAAGTGAGAGATCTGGTGGAGCAGGTCACAGAAGGACACAAGAATGCAAAGGAGGCAAAAATAAAGCTGCAGAAGTACAAACAGGAGATAGGTACTTACATATTGCCAGAAAAATGAGAGATGATGACAAATGTCCCCAGATTACTTCATCTTTCTTTTAGTGGACCTTTTCCTTTTGAGGGAAAGATCCAGGATATACATTCCCATGAATGCATGATTATGAATTCCAGGAATAAGTTGGTAATGGGTAGATCAGAAATTCTAAGCTACTGGTTGTTTAAAAGGAAGAAATACGGCACTAATGTTCTGCAGTTACTTTTCCTTCCATGTGAAAATAGCATATGTGAATGGCTACTTTTTGTCAAATCAAGTTACAAAGCTCAGATTCTTGTGATTCATATCAGTAAGAGAGGATTTGTTTAGCAAATGTGAAAGAATCGTGGCATAAAGTTATTGTCTTCACCAGACAATACAGACCAGGGAGGAAGACTGTAGCTAAGGAAAAAAAAACATCTCCCAGAAAAATAGGATCACAAGGGAGGATGTAGCACCTCCAAGACAGAGCAGTCATTAAGATGAAGGGAAATGTTACTGTTCCTCCATTATTCTTAAAGAAAAGTATTCAGTTAATACATTAGCTCATGAAAGTGCAGGGAGAAAGCTGTTCTGGCTAGCATGGCTGTACATATTCCAATGCAATGCCATGTTAATACATACTGCATGAACAGGCTGCCCCTAGTTGTGTGTATTTTGGTGAGCAGACTTTTCTCTGCTTGTGTATACCCATATCAGTAAGGGTTGAAGTGGGGAGAGGGTATTAGCCACTCTGAAGTGGGCTATCAAAGCCTACCAGCCCTTGCAAGTCAGTGAGTTCTAGGATATATATATAGAGCTTGGGAAAAATATTAGTGTTAGCTATGTTTAATATCCTTTTCTTAAATAATGAAACTATGCACAAATTAGAACAGATATTACAAAGCAGTAATTCAAAGTGTCTACTTTATGTATGTATACATGTTTATGTGCTGAATAGACTGATAGATAGTGTAGGTGTGAAGTACTCATTTGTTTCTCTAATCATTCCTCCCACCAATGCCAGACTGTTCCCTCTAGTACGTTTAGATGAATATTACTATCGTTATTCATAAATGCATAAGAATTTTCCTCCAGATGGATTTCTTGTTAAAATATGCAATCAGCTAACAGAGATTAGTTCTTATCTTCCAGTTCAGAAAGTTTGTGAAGAAAAGGAAGAACTTCGTCGGCAAGCCTTAGAAGAAGATGAGGAGAAGCTCAGGAAAAGATCTGAACTGATTCAACAAATACGACTTATTGGGTCCTTACCAAGCATTAGACACAAGTTTGTTGATTTAACAGAGGTAAGCTCAAAGCCTACTGGTTTTACATAAACGTATACTTCATGTGTTTCACACAAATGCATACTTTATGTGTTTCACACATTCAGAGGAATTGTGTACTGTATGCAGATACATGGCAGTCTAGATGCACAGCATTAAGTACAGAGTGACCCCATGAAATAAAGGTTAAATCTGAACTGGAACTTCAGAGTATATAAAATGAAAAGTTTACCAGATGGAATATTCTGGTGGTAAGTGAAATCTTGGTCCCCTTGAACTTTCTTTGAATTTCACCAATAGGCTCTGTGTTTCCTGTTATCTTTCAAAAAGAGACTGGCAAGTTACTACAAAATGTTCTATCCACCTTTACACATTTACAGATTTGTCAGTCCTGGATAGGGACTGAATGAACACAAAGTTTGGACAGATCTACAGTTGTTCATATTGCAGTGGTGACTGTCATGGTAATTAGCAAAATAAATTTCCTTTGCTTTCAAGATTGTCAAAACTCAGATACATGAAAGAGACTGTCAAAAGAACCCAAAACCTGCTGAGCTGTTACAAATGTGTTTTGCATATGACGTGTGTGTGGTTAAGTCTACAGTAAATGTATCACAGACTTCCTGGACTTACTGATGATGCACAACAACTGATATGCCTGAGAGTGGCCTTTGCAATGCCCACTTTTGCAGAACTTCCAGCATCCAGAAATCTCTTACTTTACCAGTAAATTGGAAGTAGATTAGCTGAAAATACTCTTCCATTTTTCTTATCCACACTGAAAGAAGAAGGACAGGGAATCATATGAAATGACAGAATAACAATTTTAATAGAATCCTTCTGGTTGGGTTTTTTTTCTTCCTTTCTTTCTCGAGTATTCAAATGTTGATCACAAATTAAAAACTATCCATGGTTTGTCTGTGAAAAGCATGCAGAAGGAACAGGTCTTTTCCTCTGTGGGGCTGTTGGAACAGTCAGTATGATGCTTTGGTTTTATTTCCAGTTCCATTGAATAGAACTGAGCCATCCATTGGTTCCAAAGCTACGTACTAGCTTTGCAGCCACCAGTTAAATCCCCCATTTCATTTATCAGATTCTGGAATACATTTAAAGTATGAAGTAAGTGAACAAGAATAAATCAGCTCAAGTGAAATTAAGTCCATAAAATTCTCATTCTCATAATTTTAAAGTACCAGTTCTTACCTTGATGGCACTGAAGTTGCTTGAACACCAGTATTATCTATTGCACAAGTATAGGACATTTCAGATTTTAGGAACCACTTCACTGTCTTCACTAAGTATTTCTGAAATGCAGTAAGTCAAAATATTTAGCCTCTTTCTATGCTTCTAGGAGAACCTCTTTCCTAGACCTTTTTGGTGTCTGCTTGCCATGCTCAAACACCACTGTTAGTATATATGCCACACTGCAAAACATTTTCCTGTCACTTCCTGTGAATATAACTTGACGGCCATTGGCCAGTTTAAATTAGAGGCAAGGTATTACAGCACTTTCTATTTGCAAATTCACTCTAAAATGAAATCTGAGTAGGAGATAAATGCTCACTTACTGTTTCAGTAATCTATGGTAGTATGTATTTTTCAAGGACATGCAAAAATAAACACTGATTAATATTGAACTCTTTTATCCGTCTTCTACTGATGCTCCTGGTAACCACTGTTTAGGTCATGTACACATGAGGAGCATGGAAGCAGCCAAAATGGAAGAATCAGATCTCAGGTGAAAAAACAGTGATGATCTGTTCTTACTGACTCAGTTTTGGAGCTTTAGAAAGGGAAGTGATGGGGACCAAAACTTCAGGAGAGACTCTTGCAAATCTTGGAGGAATCTCCAGGCATGGCCACCCAAGACACATTCCCCTTCACTGACAAGTTTGTATCATTAGATTCCGCAGACTAATTCAGTAATAATCCCTCATAAGCACCAGTGTTGTAACAGCTGAGCCTGGTTATTTGTTGTATTCTGTTTTTTTGTGTATTTATTGTCGCTGTCCCCCTGCATTACTGTGTTCTTCATCTCTCTTGGCTTTGCCTCTGTTTCATGGACCCACTGTTCTGAACAGACAGAATGGTCATTGGAGGATGAATACCTGACTACATTGCTTAGATGGCATCCCAGGCCAGAGAAGAGGGACTGGACGCAGGTTAATTCTTGCAGCCAATCTGAGCATCTATGACACAGCATCCTCTTTTCCTGGATTTTCATTCCTATCCCTTCATGTTCTATCTTGTGAAGACCTCAAAAGCAGAAAGGCGACTACTATTCTGTCAACAACCCACTCAGTGTTCAATACAAGGGCTTTTTTTTCCCTGTTAAAAAGGGTTTCTTGAAAAAATGAAGGCTCTCTCACTGAAAAATTTCTCTCCATTAAAAGGACTGTAATGAGTTTTACATACATATGTTTATCATTAGCACTTAATTTCATTCTGAGAAATACATTTTGGAGGAGTGATTGTTCTTTTGTGTGTTGTCCCTCTCCCCCCCCCACTTTTTAAACATTGTCATTAATTTTCTGCAAGTAGTTCTATGGGACTAAGTAGACCAAAACCTAACCAGTGTTCCACTCTTAATGTTATACAACTGTATAGCAAGTCACATTAGCATCTTGACTTCCTGTACCCATATATTCCATTATAGCATCACATGGTACAAGAGGTAAACTGCAGATGTGTACCAAAACTATGCTAAGATAGAGAAAAATTATATTAGTTGGGATGAGAAGGATTAAATTTTATAAAGAAAGATACACAGAATCTCAACATTTGTGTGGGTTTATGCAAGTTTTCCATCTATGCAGATGTAGATGTGTGTAGACAAGAGAAAGGGAGAGTGTATGTAAGAAGGGCCAAAAAATTCAACTGATCACAAATTTGTTTAGAATTTATCTGTCTTCATGTGCAAATGAAGGTGCAGAAGTGTCTCAGGCTTATTATCACCATAATTGTGATGTGGATATTTAAAAGCCTTCCTGAAACGTTCAGGTTTGGATATTTTAACTTTGTGCATTAAAATCTGAATTTCTTGGGTACAAAGCATCGGTAGCGCTAGTCTTTTAAGATAAAAAAATAGATGCCATCATAGATCAGATCCATACTTTGGAAATATATAAATACAAAAATTGCATAGTTTTTAGTGTAAAGTCTGTTCTGGTTTTACTAAGTAAAAAAAAACCAAGCAAACACAGTTTTACACATTTTAAAACTTCAAAGTTCTAATTAAAAGATAAGCCTGCTAGAATTTTTTTGGATAGCAAGTATGTTGCATTTATGATTAACCTACTGTATATTTCAATGCTTTTTCATGAAATGTTTTAGTAACTTTGTGGTTTTACATACCAAAGAGATGCTCTACAAATTAAAACCAGCTTGTAAGTAACAGGTTAGGGCCATTCCTGTATTTCATGAAGTCAAATATATTTAGCATGATTTGGAACACACTCAAAATACTCTGATTTTACACATTTACTCTCCCCTTGGTATTTGCAGTGCTATTCAAACCTGTATTTCTCATTCTCCAGACTGGTGGCCACGGTTTAACTTGTGAAATGTCAATAGTGGAACTACGTGAACGCCTCGCTCTGCTCAGAGAAGAACAGAAGGCGGCAGAGGAAGAGAAGAGAGACCGGATAATTTATGAAAAACAAGCTAAGGAACAACTTCTTCTAGACAAACTGGACCAGATTTTGGTATTCAGAGCAGAACTCAGCCGAGCAGCTGCTTTAAAGTCAGTATAAAACAGCATGTGACATTTAAGACATTGCAACTTTGTTAATATTTTGCTACCCCCTCGAGGAGAAAACAAGTAGAGAGCAAAATACTGCCCTTCTAGAAATCACTGTGACTTCTGTCATGGATTACATTCGGGCAAGCCTTCCCTTTTTAGTCTGGAAAATAATTTGCATTAGATTTAACAAAGCTTTTTCATTATTTATGGTTGAAGAGGCTCTCTATGTTGGTGTTGACAATATTGCCCCAGGATTCAGAGCCAGTATTACATACTGAGAATTTCTGCCGTTTTTCTGTTCCTTTTCAACTAATCAGAACTAATTTGATGTTATTAGAATCATTCTAGCTTGCCACTTACAGTGCTTTCTCATTCTCATCTAAATCAATACGTTAGAACTATAGTTTTCTTCCTTCAATTTCATTTGTTATGTGAAAAAGCAGGCATTATTCTAGACGTTAAAGATATTTTAGGAAGGAGATTTTCTGATTAAAATAATAAGTTATAAATTAAATATAGCAGTAGATCAAAGAGAAAATTCTTTGCTAACAGGCTCTCTGATAAAATTCTATATTCATTATTCATATTTATAATTCATTATCATATTTATTATTCATTGTCATAAAGGATCCATAGCCATCATAGATGCTTCACATATGCAGAAGATAGGTCCCTTCCACAAGAGTTTTTAATCTAAGTTAAAGCTATTTACAAATAAAGCTGAGCAGGAAGAAAGCCTGCGTAGAAGTATAAAATACAGCACACCTCTTGATCTTCTGCCATTTTTACTGTATCTTGACTATTTGCCATTGTTTTCTTGCACATTGCCTTTCACCTTTTCCCTTTTGTGTGTTTGAGAGATCAGTCCTTGTCTTGCCATATTTATTTTACAAAGAGCTGTTCAAACTCTGAAGACATATTCTATCAGGCTAAAAACACTCGTCTTTAGACATGTCTCAGATTCACGTTCATAGCTGAGATACAGAAGGTGGCTTCTCAGAGTTCAGTTCATGTTGTTGACATCATCCAGTTCTAAATCTCAGTTACAGAGGGCAGTATTCATTTAACTAGTTTTCACTAGTCTGAGCTCTAATTTGGTTTGTTGCTAATAGTTAATCTCCAAAGACTGGCCTTTACTGTCTTAGTACTTAAGAAGATAGTTTAATGAATTTAATGAATTGATCACTGCCGCTGCAGTGGATTGACTGCATAGATCACTGACCCTCTCTTCTATAGCATGTATCGAGAAAAGATTTTAAGACTAAAGAACCTGAAATGAAGTTGGGGCTGGAAATACACTCTCATCAGTAAACATTCAGTGTTGTGGAAGCCTGTGGGAGCAACTCAAGCCACTGCTTTCCACAAGAGATGCAAACTAGCCATTAAGAACTTGTGTTCTACATAAAACCTGTGTCACTAGTGGCCATTTAAAGAATCATTTGTCATGCCAGATGTGCCGCCTGTGAGTTTTGTATAGTACTGGGTTCCCTTAAAATAAGATTCTTTGGCTTAATTCAGATCTAAAACTGTTCTGATTCTGAAATAAGCTATGCTTGAATGAGAAGCTAATTTTGATTCACTTTTTGGTCCTGGCACTTGAAATGTTTATTTAGGCCAGACCACCATGTCAAAGACAGTAGAATCCAACTTCAATTAAACACTTCATTTGCAAACTTCTACTCAGACTCATGATAAGTAATACAGTAATTTTAATGGAGCACTGTTTGCTCTTCAAATAAAGGAAATATAAATTTTCATTATAGATGTTGTAAGACATTTCCTTTCATGGCACCCAGGCAATCTATGTACGTAACTCAGAATCATCTACTACAAAGAGGCATCAGCAAAATATAACTGAATTGTTGTTCTTTGGGAGCGTATTTCATGCATTTTCACCTAGAATCCAAATCTGTGGTGTTATTTCTGTTACTACAGGAATATGGCATGTTTTGGCCTATTTACAAATGCCAGATACTTTGTTGCAGATTTTATTTCTCTCTAAACAAACTATAGGCTTTATGTGTTAAACCTGATTGACAGATCTTGAATCCTGAAATACCTGTCAAGCCAGTGTGAGTGATTAATTGCTGGGGTTGTATTATTGACACACTGCACAAGAGATGTAAAAAGCAAATCTTTATGTTTACAGAATCAATTCATAATTACAGGGATAGAATAGCAAATCTTACCAGTGGTCTTCATGATAGCCTTCTGCATCAATATAAAATTACACGTTATTTCTTAAGCTGTGTTATGTTGAAGGCTACTACTAATCAGCTGAAATACGGTGGCAAAGCTTTGCTGAACAAATGTGCTTTCACAGTGTCAGCTGGAGTTTAATTGGGTCCCTACCAAGCAGGTTCCTTTCAATATCATTTACTAACTGACATACATCAACACAAAAGCAGCACACTGAGCAAAGATATAATGAGCTGTATTAAACAAAATAGGAAATGGAACATGAAAAATGACAGACATCAGCCTTTAATAGACTGCAAGCCATGACATCCATCACAGCAGCAGCTTTGTGAGTGCTTGCAGAACACTCAAGAATCAATTCAGTATGTATGCAGGATGTCCCATTAATTGCTAGAATTTCTCAGTTTGAAAATCAGCACTGGCATATGAAGTGGACAAACATTTGAGTTCTCAGCTTTCGCACATAAGCACCAAAAGATATATGTGTTTGAATACATGCTAATGAACTAAAGTTATGTGCCTGTATACTTCAGGTGTGATTCCCTTTCATTCCAGTGAGGCTACAGCTATTACTGCAAGTAATTTAATACACTAAGAACCAAGCAACAGATCGAACCATTTGGTGCTGAGGCTCCCTCCACCCACATTATCTGTGGTTTGGGGGTTTTACTTTGATTTCGGTTTAGTATGGTGTTAGGACTGCATGCGCTCACCATTCATGTGGTTTAAAGTTGTGCCAAGAGGAAAGTAATCTCAAAAAACTTCACATACTTCTGGTTCCTCTGTAAGCCTGTCTAGTGAAAACCACACTATCCTTTTTCTTGTCTCCCATAGATGACAGCAGTACATCCGTGCCCCTACCTATGTATGGCACACGGAAGCTAGCCTTATTTCTGTTCTTTCTCATGTTCCTGCCTTGTTTGTTTTGCTGCTCATTTTCAAGTGACGTGACAGCACCTGCTGCCTGAGCCTGATCCCCTCTCCAAGTCATGCCAACATCCAGATGAAGGTAGCAGCTGCAGTTCTTGACTGCAGGGTGACAGTCTGAACTGACACTAATACTCCTTGACTTGCTTGTATATGAGGAAGATACACAGACTCCCACCAACACAGATGTTTACCATATTCCCATCTCACGCTGTGGTAATGGTGTAGAATGCTGGGGTCTCAGCACTGGCTTACAGACAATGGTGTGTTTGCCAAGGTGGCAAAGCATTAGCTTCTCTCCCTGCCACTGCCAGTGCTCAAAGCCCTCCTGACAAGGGGCACTGACCATACACCTTGCACTTGGCCTGAACTAGGGAGGGGTGAAAATAGTGTGAGGGAAGCCATGGCAGGAGGACAAGGCAGAAGGCTGGCTATGAAGAGGAGAACGAGCAGAAGGGAGGGTTATGGATGAATGGTCGTGACGGTCCTTTCCAAGTAGAACAAGCTCCCTAAAGCAGGTGTTCCCTGGAGTATCCAGCTCGGACTTAGGGGGTCAAAGGCCTTCTGGGTGAAGAGGGGAGAATGGAGGCACAAAGTCCAAAACCCATAAGGCGCCCTGGCAGCACACCCCTGTGATGCAGCACACAACTGAGGGAAGGAGGGGGCAGACAGCACATGGAGGTGGGAAGATATAACAGGGGAACGTGTGCCATGCTATCCCTATGTTTGGCTGTTGCTTCAGATATTGGAGAACATAGCCTAGAATAATGAACATCCCTCTGAACATCAGGAAGCACTTCTTTTACTGTGAGGGTAACTGAGCACTGGCATAGGCTGCCCAGAGAGGCTGTGGAGCCTCCACCCCTGGAGATACTCAAAGGCCACCTGGACATGGTCATGGGCAACCAGCTCTAGGTGGCCCTGCTTGAGCAGGGGGGAGTGAACAAGATGAGCTCCAGAAGTCTGTTCCAGCCTCAACCATCCTGTAATTCTGTGAATGAACTCTGATTATACAGCTTCATAATCTTTATTTCAAATGAGGCAAACACTATTATGAATAACAATCACTTCCCCACCTAAAATGAAATGCTTAATAACTTAATTGTTTTGGAAGGGAGTCAGATTTTGGGTGCTTAAATCCCTCACATTAGTACAAAATAGTAATCAATCTAATAGTGTAGTGTGTTTAAATGTCAAAATAATGACTCCCTTAACAGTGAACTGTTAACAGTTAGATACATTAATTTTCCTCACTGCAATACCTAAGAATTATACAGTGCGGGGCAGAAAAAAGGCAAAGTACTGTGAAGTACGAACAGCCTCAGTCACTGGGACTGAGAGTATGAGGAAGTTAAAAACCCCAAAGTTTATTGCACTATAAGGCAATCTTACTTGTGCTTTTAAAAATATATTTGTATTTATTGCACAAGACTCCATTTTGTGAGGTGATCTTATAAATACAGTCCTAGCTGCTTAAGTTGATACTGTAATGCCTAGAATGATGAAGTAGCCCTTTTCACTCCATCTCCTACAAGTACTGAGTCAGTTAAGAGCTGTCTCCTTACAATTCTGATGTACAGCTGGAGTTTGAAAATATAAATGAAGGGCAAAATGTAGTTTTCAGGAGGAATCCTCTGTGCAAATCTTCATATTCTCCATTTTGTAAACACAGCTGTGAAGACCTAATCCAAGTGTTCCGAGTGTTTTCACTTGGAAAGGAAAACCTTTCATGCTGAATTGCTGCTGTTTCAGTTGTAAGTCAGGTGGCCTACTGGACCTACAGTTCATTTGGCCGCATCCTAAAACTGCATGGCAGATAGTTAAATAATTACAAGGGATATGTAGGTAAAAAGATGCTGGACTGCCCAAAACTTATTTATTTTTAAAGTTCATTATATTTACTAAGGAAATTGTTGAGACAACAAATATGGGATGTGAATTGCAGTTTACGATGCCTGGAATATTATTTCAAACAGGAAGGCACTTCCATTTTACCCATCACTGATGGAATTATTCTGTACTTCATCTCGGTATACCCAAATCTTTGTTCTGTTGACTGTATGCACAGAAAGTGAATAGAGAACGAAAACAGTGGTAGATAAATTTTCATTGCTTGCTTTCATGTCCATATTCTGTTAAATCTTCCACTAATCCCTTACTTTGCATCCTCTAAGTAGTTTATACACACACCTCACACTACTACAAACTTCCATCAGCACATTCAAGAATCTCATCCTTAACACTAAAAAGTAGTTTCTGACAAGGGCACTAAGAAAACACTAGAGTTTGTTAAACCAATTTAAATACATATGGACTTCAAAACTATTAACTGTTTTTTTAGTGTCTTTGGTAGAGAAATATTTTTTAGTTATGGCAAACTTGCAGAGGGACAGACGACTCTTACCTGAGACCAAACTAAAAGGAAATTAACAAATTCTCTTTTAGACCAAAGATGCGACATTACATCTTAGGAACTAGGAACTAGTACGATTCTTAAAGACTACTGGTTTTCATTCAGAATACTCATTCAATACCAGTAGCTGGTAAATGAACTTAAAAGTAAAATTAAAATGGTTTCTGCACATTTTTTTATAAGTTAGCACATAATTTTCTGTTGAATCTGGAGAAGATTTTTCTAACTCCATTCTGACTGGCTGTTACCTGACTTCCTTAGCCAATACATGATATGGGGTGCTTCTATCTTGAGTCCTTAAAATTCTCAACTGACCATCACAGAAAAAAAGAATTTTGAAGTTTTTTTTTTCATTCCTTCCCCTCTTTGAGTTTCTGTTATGATGTGGCAGCTGCAAATCTATGGGATTGACAGCTTTGGGGAATAGTGTAGATGACTGGCATATGACTTCATGTAGAAGAGGACTGAATATTACTCTGAGGATAAGTGACTATTTATCATGTTAATTCAGAAGCAGCTGTTGCTGCTTTATGATGTTAAACCCCTTGCTTTATTTCTTGTAATTGTATTTACAAGAATCTGGATTTGCATGTAAGGAAAGGTTTTATTGCTTATTCCCACTGAAAATATCTAATCATCATTTATTTACATAAAACCTGATGGTAACATTCTCCTATATCCCTTGGAATACAATGCGTTGTTACAATGCAAACAGAAATAAACCATGTTCTCAATTAGGTTAAGTGATAGTGCATAATTTTTACATTTACAGAATAGTGTTAAAAATTGAGCTCAGTGTAGCAGAATATATCAGAGTATTAAGGAAGATAAGGAAGTGTTATGCTAACGAGACAGCATGACACAAGCAGCAGAGAGGTTCATAAAATGTCTCACGAAAGCAACTGGAAATGACAAGCTGAGCTAAACTATGCCCTTACTTAGATTTCACAGTCACATCACATTTCAGAATGTAACTAACATGGAACAAATTTCCACTTCATCCAGCTCCTGAGGATCTCCCAAGGTGAAAGAAGTGTGTGGATCCCTGGAATCTAGATACAGTAACTTTTTAAGGCAAATTGGTGGGTTTAGCACCAGAAGGAACTTCCTTCTTCCCCTTCCTCCAGCTCCTTCAGAAAAGTGTGCCTTTTACTGAGAACAGTGTGATGTAAGACCCAAGAGATAAGGGAATAGTTCTGTTACAAACTATTAAGGCGTTACCTACTTTCTTTGGTAGATCTAACACTTCCTTTAGCTCTGAATTTGGCCAAAGAATCACATCTGCTCATGATGTAATATTAATACTACAGCTTGATCATACTAAGCCAAATTCAAGGGCAGTGTTGAATAAAAGAGGAAGTTGGATGTTAAGTGAATCACTATGTAATGTGGTGTAACCTGTATGAAGAAACTGGGAGTAAATTGTGCCAGTTGAGTGAAAGTAATCAAGAACAGATAAAATGTAAACTCAAGGACAGAAAAGTAGCTACAATAAAAGAAAAAAAAAAAAGGAAGACTATCCAATAACCTCTTTCTTATGCCTTAATTTTATGCTGCACATGGTGCTGTCAATTTATGATCACCTAGACCAACTAACCTGAATGAATACATCACTATCCCATTGATTCTGAATCTGGGCATTGAGATTACACAGGAAAGAATATCTTTCATTTGCCAAGGAATATAGCAATTGAGATGAATACTGATGATCATATAAGGAAAACTACATAGTTCTCACAAGCAAAAAGCTGAAGTATTATCACAGGTTTTGCACGTTTTTTGTAAAGAATGTCATGTCAGGCTTGAAGTACTTCAGATATTGTCATCATGGCATCCCGTGGGAAGAAATTATACTGTTTAGTAATGCTGTTCTGTAAACAAGAAGCAAGTTGTGAGTACCACATTCAAGTTACATGATTTAAACCTGTTCTGAGTCCCAGAAGCAAGAGCAAATTTATTATTATCAAGGTATATGCTCAGATGGTTTTATTTTGTAGTTTGATATTACTTTACCTTCTCATTGCTTCTTTTTGTTTTTGCAGGAAAGAAGAAGAGAAAGGAAAGCCCCAGTCTGGTGAAAGGCCTGTGAAAGATGAGCGCATTTTAAACCTGCAGAAGAGGATTGTAGAAAAAAAAATGGAGCGTAAAAAGCAAGAAGGACTCTCAAAGATTACCCCCCAGAAAAGCAGCATCGCATCAAGGAAGGTCTGGAGTTACATAAGGAGAAAAGCTCTGCAATAGACCTGCTGTTCACAGACCTTTGCTCAACTGCCAGCACTGGCAAGGGGGCCAGAGGCAGATGGTGCCATAGATGATTGGCAACAGCAACACCCTGTGTCCTGCACAGGCACCATTTCTCCAAACCATGGCCTTGACCTCACCTTCTTGTCACACAATCTGCTACCACAGAGCAGGGCTCATCTGTGCGACATACAGCTTCCCACTCTTATTTCCATACACTCTCATTCCATCAAAGGAGCATCTTACCCCCTGTTTTAACTCCTGTCTTTCTCAGCTTCCTACCACACATACCCTGTTACACAAAACTGGGATGCTCTCCTGTGTCTCGCCCAAGGCATATTAAGAGTTGGTCATTCCCATGCATTTCACCTCAGCCTGGTCCCACGTTGTCATATGGAAGCACCAATAGGCTGTAGGCTTCATGTTGTTTCACAGTGGTTGTGTTTCCTTGGCAAGTGTCTAAAGTGGTGAGGAACTAGTGCTTCTGCTGCCACCTCAGCCACCACCTCAGGTCATGCCTAACATCGAGAAGTGGTTCATATACCAGTAGTGTAACACAGCATGTGGAATGCTGCAGGGAACAGTCATCTAGATGATCTTAAGGTCCTTTCCAACCCTAACTATTTTATGATTCTATAATAGGATCACTTTTTAAAAGCTGTACTAGCTCAATCTAAAAATACAAATAAATCTCCCAATCTGCTAGTAATAGATCTCTACCTATTTTGTGAGAAATTTACATGAAGCTGAATTCAATGAAGAGAAAAACTGTATTTTTCAAGTGTATATAGTTCTAAAAACCAAAATAGAGCAATCTTTCAGAGTATCAATGTTTGCTGCCTTCAGAATGCCCGTTTCAGGCAAGTAAAACATGTAGGTGCTTCTAGAGACAACTAGGTCTATTCCTTTCAGCAAAGCAAACAATGACCTACCTGAAGAAAGCATGTCCTAAATTGGGATGGTTTTCTGAACTGAGGTTTTGAACACATGCTTAAACAGTTTGCTGAATTGAGTCCACAGTAAAGTGGAAGCAAAAATGCAGACTTCAAAGGAAAGCAGCCATATAATTACAATTGTGAGACATTTTTTCTTAATAAACAAAGAGAAATCATAAATTCACAACTAGAACTTTTAACTACCTGATGTGGGTCTGTATGTGTGCTGTGGTGTCATATGATTGAGCAAAAAAGCCAGGGTTTGAAAGTTGTTTCTTGAGCTAGATTTACACAGTAAGTCTCTTAAGCTGTCACAGTGGTTTTGTTTATGTTCTGCTCAAATGTTAAGACATATGGAAAAGAAGAAAAGAAAAAATATCAGGGTTATTATGAATTATGTAACTGTTTTGGTTTATCTTAGATCATTGCTGTTCCACTCTACATGACTCTATCCAAATGTTACTACAGGAAAGTATCTCAGTTCTGGTCAGATATGTTACTACATAAAAGTAGTATCAAATATTACTACAGGAATATAGCTTAATTATTGTCAGATATGTTACTATGTAAAAGTAGTATCCAAATGTTACTACAGGAAAGTAGCTCAATTCTGATCAGATATGTTCAGCAGCATCTTTATTGTGCTTGAACTGCATTTTGCTGAAAAAGGTGTTAGTGTGACTATAGGAAAAAATTCCTCCCTTAGTTATAATGCAGTAGTTATCTGGCATTCAGTTTGTACTGCTACTATGTAGGTTCCTCAGTTAGTTGAGAAAAAAGAAGTTACACAAACCCCTTGTAATAAAGTTCCAGATTGTGGCTTTCGTAACATTTGTGGGGGCCCTTTGGGTCCAATTAGTTTGTGCTGATATAAGTCAAGGCAAAGTTTATTTACAAATCACTATTCTATTCTTAATAAAACAGAATTTCTATTGCAATTTGGAAAACTAAACATAAGAAAAACTACCATTAATGAAAAAAAAAATTTTTTTCTACCATTTTAAATGGAGAATCAGATGAAAAAAGTAGCAGTTTTCTGTTTGTTCTGAGCTTTTGGGGAATGCTCCCTTGTGAGCCCGGTTTTTGGATCAGCAAACCACTAGATTTTGGTAGGATTTGTGCAACTGTTCATTTATGGCTTCAAGAATAAACTGCTGGCAAAGAAGGAATGCAAGGTAGCAGCACTGAAGCAAACCATCCAGGTGTAGTTTTATCTTGACTTAATATATTGTGGGGAATTGCAGCTGTGTTTAATTCATCTTGATCTGGGCAACCCACCCGAGTTACCTTTCTGTTCATCACGCACAGTTTGATGTTGACAAGTCTCCCAATCATGTTAGCAACTAAACTCTGAAGAGTTTATTTAGTCTAATATGGTATCCTCTAAAAAGAACTACTGTATTATCTGCAGTCTGATCATCTGTGTCTCTTTTCTGCAGGACACTTTCCAATGGAACCATTGGAATGAACTGGAAGACAGTCGGGAAAGACAGTTCAAGATCTTTCAGCATGGCTTCATGGCCAGAGAAACAGCTCAGAAAATGTCTGCCTATGAGGAAGCAAGAAGTGGAGCCAAAGTCTGTATATTGCACTCTGAAGTAAAATAAACTACAAATTCTGGCCTCCTGGAAATCTACCAGTGTGCCTGTTTACTACAAGGTTGGATTTTACTCTTTATTTCAACTTTTTAGTGTGATGAGAAAAATTTGGATCATACAGGCACAACAGAATAAAAATGCATTCATTTTTTTGTAATAGAATTTTATTTTTATGCTATAATGATACTTTTTTATTGTTAGAATCAAAAGCTTCAAGAAACCAAAACCTTACCATTACAGCTTGTACAGCAGAATGGCAAAAACGTGGCTAAGAATGCTGAGATCTGTATTTCTGTTATCATTGTGTCCTGTGCCATGGAGTTTGCTATGCTCATTTTTTGAAAGAATAAAAATGAGGGCAAAACCCAAGCAACATTTGCTTACATATGCTTCTTCAGAAGGTATGGGCAGCTGAAGTTCCTCACAAGTCTTCTAACAGGACAGTAACTGTGTAAGAGGATGATCAGTTTCAACACTGATTTTAGAGGATGAGGAAAGAACTGTTTAGAAGGTTTAGATGATGTAACAGCTTCCAGGAGCCAGAGGCTAGATTCAGTCACCCAGAAAGAGTACTATCATGGATATGAATCTCTGCAGACTTTAAAAGCAGAAAGAGAACATAACATTGTTTGATCTCTTTAGGGAGCTGCTTCCAGAAAAAGTCAAAATTCTCTTACTCACCTAAAAGATAATTTGTCCTCTACACAATTTCTAAATTGTGTAAAACAGCCTTTAAATCACAAGACTTACTCTAGGCACCAAGGCAAGAAGGATATAAATCCAAATGAATATCTGCACAGCAGTATGGCTATATGATATATTTCTGTTTTATCTCAATGCCAGTTACTACGTGTTTAACTATGGCTATTGCAAATATTTAAATTGAAGGAAAGTGTAGCTGACATTAGTCGGGCAGCTGCTTTTAATGCTCTCACAATAGTGAGAAATGTAATTCTCACTTTTTACTAAAGGAAGTCTAATGGAATTCTTTTGTTGCCATCTAGCTGTGAAGATCACTTCCACAATCCGCAAACTGATAACATGCTGTATATTTTAATCAAAGTAAATGCGATGTAGGGCTTACGTTCCATAGGAAGAGTTAAAGAACACAGGAGAGAGAAAAGAAAGAAGCACAGCAAGGGAACTACAGAGAAGAGGGAACTACAACCCAGTGTCTAGTAGGGGATTGCAATAGCTTAAATCAATAAACTCTTGGTGGCAGGGAGTTTATCTTCCTTTGTGGTTGCTCAGCATTGTATTCCAGAACAACAAAGCCAAGTGGTGGTTGTAACACCTATTTTCTAGAAGCTAGCAATTAACAGGGATGACAGTCATGACCTGAGATGCTGCATCGCCAAATAGTTCCTCTTAAACTTTATTCTGTGTCTGTCATTTAGAGATTTTAGAAAAACCCCAATCATTAAGAAAATAGATAGGCATGTATATTTAGGTAGGTAACATGGAAATGTTGCAACCCCATCATACTGCATGTCTCTTCCCCTCTGATGATGTAACCAGTTTTCAAAATTCTTACTGAATTGCAATCAAGCTGATTCATAACGATTTCCTTCTCCGTATTTTCCCTGCTCTCAAAAGAAAGGACTGAGGAATAAAGGAATCTCAATAATCCAGCTGTAGCCTATTGCTACTTTAGGATCTAACGCATAAAGTCATCTTCAGAATCAATGTTCTCAGGAATGTAAAAGAATGTGAGTCTTTTAGGAAAAAAACAATATATCCCTATATTGATATTTCTGTGTCAATACAGCCTATTGATTTTTCAGTGATGGCAGGTCTTGCAACAGAATACACACAGTAACATTAAAAAGACCACATTCCTCCTGACAAATGTGGATAACACAATGTTGGAGGCAGCAGATCCTACCCACAACCACTCCACCCCTGGTCACTAGAGCATCTTCTCTAGTATTTCTGTTCCAGCAATGTGTTACACAGAAACCTGAGGTGATCCAATGCAGAGCTAGCAAAGGTCTGGTAGGACTTGTTAGCATAACATTACAAAGGCAGCTGTAATGCCATTGGAGCCAAGAGCACTGCATTCACACTGCTGCCTCAGCTGGTGTCTGTGGCACAGACCATCCACAGCCTGGTTATTGCATAATTGAGGCAGCAATGCCTCTACACTCATCACGCTTTTGCAGAAGCACAGGTAAATAATACATGATTCATTCATTTACACATTTGTCACACTATTCGCAGCCAAGAAGACGAACAGAAGCGAACAAGGCTGACTCTTAAATCACCTGACAAAACAGACTTACAAAATCAGAGGGTTTAACCTGTCTGATCTTAGTAACCTATTAGAAAACCCTTCTAGTGCAAAAACCTGCACATTCCAGAGGTCTCCTATTTCAGTGTAAATATCCAGACCACAAAAGCTTTCACATGCAACTACGATGTAAGGAGATATAAGGAGGTGCAAGGAGGCCCAGATTACCTGAGGAGGATGGGGGGGTTACAGCCCTGTGATGAGCACCAGACACAGGGTGCTCACACCTTGTGTAACACAAGTCGCTGCTGGGTAGCACTTGGCTCCTTCTTCCAAATCAGCCCTTGTTCTGGGGCAAAGCCCATATTCAGTGACTTCCTGATGATCCGATCTGCCCTAGAGAGCACAGGTATTTTGTTATATACATGAAAACAAAGACACAGAGGTAAGTTATGTTGGAATGGCGAGCAAAAACCCCAACAAACCTAGTACAACTCTCAAGTGCTGTTCACCCACAAGAGAAGGCAAGAAAAATCCCCAGGAAAAGCTACGAGTTTACCTACAGTCAAGCAGCCGGGCACAGGGCAGGAACATCCAGAAAGGCCAAGATGATCCTTGCGCTAAGGCAGCTGGGGAAAAAGCCCTTCTCGATGGTGAGGTGAGGGTGTCAAAACACCTCTTAAGTGTTTATAACGAGTTACATGGAGGAGCTGGACTAATTAATACACAGGCAACATGTCATGATCTTCCAAGCCGATGGCTCTGATGAATTTTGCTCAGTGCTTTGGAAACACTTCTAAGAGATGGAGAGGACTCTGTGAGAGATGGAAGAGAATGGACCCAAAAGCTTGCTCTCCCACACCCCACCCCCCGGAACAACAGCACACAGAAAAGCCCTGTCCTGCCTCGGCCGCCCCTTTCAGGGTCCGTCAGGCCCGGGGCCGAGCAGGACCTCCCAATGGCGGCCGGCCCGCCTCAGGCCAGGCGCCCCTCCCACCCCGCCCCACCCACCCAGAAACTACAACTCCCAGCAAGCTCCGGGGCCGGATAAAGGGCGGGGCCGCACGCCTCTCCCCTTCCTGATTGACGTGCGTGCAGCCACTCAGCGAGCCGCGGCATCCCGCTCCGCCCAATGGCGGGGGAGCGGGGGCGGGCGTTGCCGTACACCACTGCCGGGCCGAGCGCTGAGGGTGAGTGGTGCAGGCCGAGGGGTTCTGTGTTGGCGGTGGCACCGGAGCGCTGCAGCGGCACTGGCGCTCCCGGGACCGCCTTGTCCTTCTGGGGTACCCGGGGCGGCAGGTAAGGGGTAGGGAGTGGAGCAGAGGAAGGGAGCCGCGCCCGGCCGCCATGGGGGAGGGGTTGGCCGGCGCTGAGGGGAGCAGGGGCGACATCGAGCCGCTTCCGCCAGTGCGCGGAGCTGGGCCCTGCGCGGTGGGGCTGGGATGGCGCTGCCCCCTTCTCCGGGGCGGAGACCGTGAACTGAGCCTCTTTCCCCGGCCACGGCCGTGCCCGCGGCCCTGGCGGCCATGAGGGGCTCCCCCCACGCTGCTCCAGGCCTCCCCTCCCTCCGTCTGGGGCTCCGCAGCCCGGAGTCTGGTTCCTCCCCCCCCCCCCCAGCCCCAACCCCCGGCAGTGTGTTACTTGTATTTTTCCATCTCCGTCGCTCTGGGAGGCTCCGGGGCCTGCGAATGCCACTGCCCGGCCCTAAGCAGCTCTGAGGTCGGGGGACGGCGGGGCCGGCGGCCGCTTCCTGCTCCGTGTTACGTTGCAGACTGGCCCGTCCCTGTGGACAGGGACAGGCTGCTCCAGCCTCTTGTGCTCGCTGGGTCGTAAACTGCCTGTACTGCGAGGGCAGTTCAGAGCGTGTCCTGCAGTGGCTGAAAGAGACAAGTGCCGCTGGCGTTCCTCTGGAGGAACAGGAGTGGCCCAGCGGGTGCAGCTGCGGGGGGGTTAGTCTGTCCTTCCATTCTGTGTGACAGCAGGAGTGAAGGGAATGCTGCTCTCCTACCTCAACGTCCCTCTACACTTCCATTACAGGGTGTTTAAACACTCAACTTGTTTTTCCTTTCTTCTGATTTTGGGACTATTGAAGGTAAGCTGAAGGATCTCTCGGAGAAACTAATGCACATGGAGTAGCAAGGAGCCTTTCTTCTGGCCCGTCTCCATCTGATTTTGTTGTTTCTGAAACAGGACATTGCCCAACAAAAAGTTTTGGTGTGTTTCATTCTGTGGGTGTTTTGTTAGCTTCTTTGTTTAAACTTGGGCTTCTTGTCTGTAGGTGCAGCAGACTGCTTAGAGCAGGCAGGGTAGTATATCTTTGTTTTGATATCTTACCTCTTTTTATAGTGCTTCTCGCCAAGCTTTTGTAGTATGGGACTGTTTGACCTAATTTGGATAAAATGTAATAGACTCAGGTTCTGTTTTCAGTAAAGTCACTGTTTTAGGTAAAGTTACTGTACTGCACCTGAAAGCAAGGAGAATGCCTTTAAAGTTAGTGGAAATACAAGTGATAGGAAAGTTTTGAAGAGTGAAATGGGAGATATTGCTCCCTGTGATGATAAAAAATTTAAGACTAGCACTTTGATTGGTACACACGTGTTCTGACCACAGATTTTTTTTTTTATACCTGCTGCATCTTTAATATTGTCTTTCCTGTTTTTAAGAGTGCAGAGAGAGGTCTAAAAAATAGTAGAAATGAGAAGCAAAGTCTTAAAGCTGTAGCATATCATGCTTTGACAAATGCAGTTTCTACTGTTCTTTGTCACCTGTGCCTTGCACACACCAAACATTTAGGCTGACTGCTTTCTTCAAGTAGTTACTTTAGTGTATTTGTAATGTTTAGGATGAATATGGCGTAAAGTCTCATTTGTGTTAGTGAGACATGAGTAGCCTGGAGGAGAGGCACGGGGGTGTTGGTTGACCACAAGGTCAATGTGACCCAGCAATATACACTTGTATCCTGGAGATGAGAAGGCTCTGAAAAGACCTTGAAGCAGCTTCTGGTACCTAAAGGGTCCTACAGGAAAGCCAGTGAGGGACTTTTGACAAGGACATGAGTGGTGAGACAAGGGGGAATGGCTTTCAACTGACAGAGGTATATTTAGATTAAATATTAGGAAGAAATTCTTCACTCTTGAGAAAGGTGAGGCACTGCACAGGTTGCCCAGAGAAGGTGAGGCTGCCCCATCCCTGGCAGTGTTCAAGACCAGGTTGGATGGGACCTAGAACAACCTGGTCTAGTGGAAGATGTCCCTGCCCATGGCAGGGGAGTGGATCTGTGTGATAAAGTTCTCTTCCAATCCAAATCATTCTATGGTAAAAAAGTCTACTTCTTGCCTTAGCTAGTTTTTCTTAATTCATGCTGAGCATGTGGGAGGCCAAGGCTTTTTCAGAGTGGTGTAAGGAAAGTTCTCAGGTAATGTTGTCTAGTGAATCCATTATTTTCTATTATAGTTCAAACGTTAAATTAAGTCAACCTGAACTCAGTGAAATATAGAGGAAAAAAAATAACAGGAGACTTAAATTGGTAAATATGGACCTAAATGTTCTTTTACTCCTAGTGTAAACATTCTTAGTTTAAATGACTTTATTTTTCTCAAATATCTACCTATACAGAGGAAGATAGGTGAATACAGTCTTTAAAATGCTTGTGAGTTAGCTAGTATAAATCTTGGAATGTTGTGAAGACTACACTACTTAAGCCCTTGGGAGAGCTCAGTGTCAGGGACAGTAACTGCCTGTGCAGAGCTTTGCATATGAGAGTAAGGAGGAAGTGTTTTTCCTAGTAATCTATCATCCTGCAGTGATGCAACAGAAGGTCCCTAAAGTTTAGAGTATTTATTGGCTTGCCGACTTGATCTGCTAAGTTTTCACATTAAAAAGAAAGTCTTTTAAAACTTTTAATTCTAGAATTTTTAATAGATGTCTGAATGCATCTTGCTACAGTGGAATAGATGAACTCAGAGCTTCAGCTGCAGTTATTTGATGCTTATGGG